ACGATTAAAACTGCGAATTTCAAATAAAATATCGAACCTGAAATTAATGATACAGCCAATGTCACACTTGTTATCACTATACCGCGTGCATAATACAACATGACAGTAAACACGTCAACGTTGTAGCCATGTGATTTACACCGCAGCCAAGGCTAAGTGGCAGCAACAAGTCCAGGAGTTCAGATGCCAAGATCGAGATCTGCTAGCCACGACGAGAGGGCTTCAGTAGAGAGTTGGTGTAGTTTCGCTATTCCTCCTCCTCCTCCGTTGAAGATGCGCAGGCCATCGTGGTCTACTATAACGCTTTAGCACGGTTGGCTACGCACGGTGTGAAAGAAGTTCAACGGACAAGATATACACGTGGTCCATGGATTTGAGTGGCAAGGCGATGGCACGACTGTGGACCGTTTTCGGACCTAGAAGCTGGCCTAGCAACTTCCCAAAGCGAGGGGCAGTCCTGAAATTTGCAGCGTTTTAAATAGGGCACGACATTAATAAAAACAACGTTCAATCCGTGTTCTTTGGTCAATGCTGTATCAATAAACGTACTGCACATATTTCTGGGGGGGGGGGGGGGGGTTGAACAGTTTGAACGGTTTATTTAGAATTGTCCTGGGAGCTAAGAAGCTAAAGCAAGCTTCCGTCTTCTGGTGGGACCAGTTACAGCAAAATCGCTGCTGTGACTGGTCCCACCTGAAGACGGAAGCTTGCTTTGCCTCCGAAACGTCGTGTTTTAATTGTTTCTTTCATTTTATTTCAATTAATTTTAATTTGTTTTACCTACGTGACTTTACCGAATAGAACCAAAGAGTATGAATCCTTGCAGTCACGAAAGCTTCAAATCTAGAGCTAAGAAGCTCTTGAATCGGGTTTCATCAACAAAACAGAACAACTGTAACATTAAAAACCACAAAATTAGCAACAGGTCGCATAAAAAATATATAAATACAGAAAATACAGCAATTAAAAAAGTCAAAAAATTTGAAAAATTGACAACATATTACTTAATTATAAATTTAATATTTACCTCAACTGAACATTAAGATTGGAGAAACGAATTGGAAAATAGTGCATCTCGAGTGAGGAATAGGATTCGCTCAAATGTTACAAAACGAGGAATAGAAACGCCTTTAATAAAATAGTTTTCCTGTGCAAACAACTAATTCGAAGTAACGCTAATAACCATAACAATCACTATGACATTGCACACATTACAACAGAACAGGACTCATATACAGAATTTAAAAAAACCCGATGTGTACATCATCCACTTGCTTCAGCAGTGGCAGATTGGCAGGCGTCTCAAGGGGAAGGAGGTGGGTGAATATCCCTCACCCCCCTTGTATCCGCAACTGGGTTTCACCTTTGCTAGGAATCATCAGTACGCGTAGAGCAATCACGGCCCCTCATTACTTCAAGGCCTTTCTGTGGAAAAGCACTCCCTGATTTCAGCTGTGCCAGCTCAGTGGTTTAACCCCCTGAGTCAGCCGCATACGTCTGTATTATACTGGAAGGAACCTCCTGGTTACACCAGCCCACAGGGGATTATTGTGTCCGTCCGTCCGTCGTGCATCCAGCAATGGGAGGGGTGGGGCTGGGTGGAGAGGGGAGGGTGGGGAGGGAGAGGCTGGGTGGGGATGGTGGGGCTGGGTGGGGAGGGTGGGGAGGGGCTGGGTGGGGAGAGGCTGGGTGGGGAGGGTGGGGCTGGGTGGGGAGGGGCTGGTCACACCGTGGTGCCCTTATAAAACTCAAAGTTTAACCTACTCACGCTGGCTTGTGCCTGCCCTCACAGTCGGGCATATTTGCAGAATACACCACGTGGTGGTGCCGCCGTTGACCCTGGCCATTGACCGAGCAACCCAACGTTCCTACCAGCTCCCTCCGCAGGAATGTGTTTATTAAAAGCCTCCTGCTGTTGTGCAGGTGTAATGACCGAAAAATTACCCAAAGCCAACCTGCAGCCTAACGGCCATTTGAGAATAAACAAAGTTCTCCGATTGGTAGGAAGAGGCCTCCTCGGTGATTGGTCGGGAGGCAGATTTTTAAAGTTATTGGAGGAATACGATTTGAAGCTTTCGTGACTGCAGGAATCCATACTCTTTGGTTCTTTCGGTAAAGTCACGTAGGTGTAAAATAAAAACGTCGTGATTTATTTTTAATTCTATACCTACGTGCCTTTACTGAAATAACCAAAGAGTATGGATATATACGGTTTGAACGAGATAAATCGGGGGCAAACCAGAGAGTATTTGTTAGAAGGGAAGGACAGGGAGTGGCCAAGGGAAACCCAAGGACAAGAGAGAAAGGTTCCAGAAAGAGAGCTCGAAGAATATTAAAAAGGGGAGAGGACGAGGAGCGGGGACGTTCGGAGGAAGTTGCAAGCTGAAGACAAGAGCGAAGCCTATTAAATCCTCGTCTGAGTCGTTGCACATGTACAGCCTTTTCGTTAATGCACTGCTGGATGATGGCCTCCCCAGTAAACATGTAACGTTGGTCCAACATTGGGCCTAACGGTTCAAACCATATGCCGACGTTAGCCCAACGATGCATGTTTATTGGGGTTTGTAACAAAAAATACTTCACGTTTGAAAACGGCGAGTACGGTATAGAAAAGTGTACAACTATGTACAAGGGCTCCTCTATTTAAGAACATTCGACTTACGAACTTTCAGAGATACGAACAAATCCGTCCGTTATGTCCAGATCCCCGTTCGGACCGAGAGTCGTAAGTTCAACCGCTGCATAATAGATGGCGGTGGTGGCATCTACATCTGCAGAACGTGAAGAACCAGTGGCATCTACATCTGCAGAACGTGAAGAACCAGTGGCATCTACATCTGCAGAACGTGAAGAACCAGTGGCATCTACATCTGCAGAACGTGAAGAACCAGTGGCATCTACATCTGCAGAACATGAAGAACCAGTGGCATCTACATCTGTAGAACGTGAAGAACCAGTGGCATCTACATCTGCAGAACATGAAGAACCAGTGGCATCTACATCTGCAGAACGTGAAGAACCAGTGGCATCTACATCTGCAGAACGTGAAGAACCAGTGGCATCTACATCTGCAGAACGTGAAGAACCAGTGGCATCTACATCTGCAGAACGTGAAGAACCAGTGGCATCTACATCTGCAGAACGTGAAGAACCAGTGGCATCTACATCTGCAGAACATGAAGAACCAGTGGCATCTACATCTGTAGAACGTGAAGAACCAGTGGCATCTACATCTGCAGAACATGAAGAACCAGTGGCATCTACATCTGCAGAACGTGAAGAACCAGTGGCATCTACATCTGCAGAACGTGACGAACCAGTGACATCTACATCTGCAGAACGTGAGGAACCAGTGGCATCTACATCTGCAGAACGTGAAGAACCAGTGGCATCTACATCTTTAGAACGTGAAGAACCAGCGGCATCTACAGAACGTGAAGAACCAGTGGCATCTACATCTGCCGAACGTGTAGAACCAGTGGCATCTACATCTGCAGAACGTGAAGAACCAGTGGCATCTACATCTGCAGAACGTGAAGAACCTGTGGCATCTACATCTGCAGAACGTGAAGAGCCAGTGGCATCTACATCTACAGGAGATTATATCACCTTTAAAGCCTTCTCCCGTGTTGACTTACGAACAGACCTCTGTCACCTAACTCGTTCGTAGGTAGAGGAGTCCCTTCATGTTGCTGCACTGCCCTCTGCTGACAACGTGGCCTATAGCGGACCCGCGATATTTTACTCATGAACACGTGTGGAGGAAAGCACGCCGTGCGATGACGTCACGATGCACACTTCGCGCGGTTTCAAAACGTGATTTTTTAAGATTGACGTCACGCGTTAAAGGTAACGAGCCGACGCAGTGACGTCCTCAAGCCACGGTCCTTCAGTCTGCGCGGCAAGCGGCCCGACGCGATGACGTCAGGACGCTCGCGCAGTTGGCTTTGCGTGGTGACGTCACAGCAACATTCCCCACAACGTAATGGCGTCATCGACAGACCCACATTTCAGGCTGCGCACACAGACCACGGAGGTTTGACGTAATTTCATTTGATTTATTTTGGTATAGCCCTGTGAGCCATTCGGCTCTTGAATCGAGTGCAACCGCAACACACAAAAACACGAACAAGAAAACATCTTAAAGTGACTACGTGTGTGACTGTGCAAACAGAAAATCCATGACAAAAAAAACAGCAAAATATTCCTGAAAAAAAGTACCGCACACCAACGCTGCGTTCAACAAATCCCAGTGGGATGCAAGTCAAACAACAACAACCACGAGAAAACTTAGATTAAGGCCATCAGTCTAACTCCGTACTGCAACAAAACAAACATGTCCAAACCAAAAAACGTTTTGGAAATCACCAAAAAAATAAAGCCATAATTGCAACGTAACAGTAATCATAGGGACTGTGACCAAATTGTAAAAATTCGGTCACAGTCTCTATGATCATCTGCAGAACGTGATGACGACACGTGCAGATACAACGGGGGGGTGGGGCGGGGGTGTGCGCAATGACGTCGTGTAACTTTTTAAACCTGCGTAGGCGACCTCTCGCTCGGCAAAACCCTACGTGATGACGTAGTGGGGATGACGTAACGACGTCACGCGCAGATCCAACAGGTGGAGGTATGCGCAATGACGTCGTGTAACATTTTAAACCTGCGTATGCGACCTCAAGCTCGCCAAGATCCTACGTGATGACGTCGGGGGAATGACGTAACGACGTCACGCGCAGATCCAACAGGTGGCGGTGTGCGCAATGACGTTTTGTAACATTTTAAACTGCGTAGGCGACCTCACGCTTGGCAAGACCCTACGCGATGACGTCCGGGGGGTGCGGAGGGGAGTGTTTAGCGTGATGACGTCGAGGGGGAGGAGAAGGCTTGACGTGACGACGTCACAAACCGATTTCCATGCGTCCCGTCACAACAGACGCACGCGGCTTGCAATGGGTACGCAATGACGTAGCGCGCGTGTTTTCTGCCGGGGCTCTCTAATTGGCTAAGCGGACGCGCGCCCACTCCCTCCCTCACTCTCCCCCCTCCCCCCCTAAAAGTGCCGTGCTGCATATGGCGGCGCGGAGTTGCTGTGCGCTGTTGGGGTAAGCCTTTGTTCTCTTGACTCGCTCGGCCGATTTCCCGGCTCGCTACATCGAGCGCCGCGGCTCCGTGGCGCCTCGGCACCCCGCGCCGAGCGTCGCGCCGTGGGGGAGCTCGAGCCGTTCGCTGGACGCCAGTGGCGTGACGCGCGTGCGGCCTCGCTCGCCTGAGCGTGCCGCCCGGGGCCTGCGCGTAGGCCTCCCGCCTGGGAGCGTCAGGCAAGACCGCGGTGGCGCGAGGAAAAAAAGCTTCGGGGTGGAGAGATCCGCTTCGGATTTGGTCGCTCTTAAATCGTTTATGTTTTTTCAGACTTAGCGTTTATCGTTGTGGCGATCGTGTTTACTTGAGAGGCGTTACGTAATTAGTTGGCGATATATGGGACCCCCCCTACCTCCAGCATAACATGAAAAACATGTGCCCCTATAGGCCAAAGGTTATGTTCACGCAGTACGTATACATTAATACGCATCTACGCATTTTACGATGCTAGGGGAATAAAACGCACCCCATTTGCGTGTCCGTTGTCAATAAAGTTATACACTTATGAAAAAAATATGTTTTATCCTTTCTAGCAATAAAGCAGGAGGTGTTAAGATGTTCAAACGCCAAATATAAACCTTTTTGCAAGGAATCGTGTTACTTGCGTTCACCACGCAACGGTAAATGTAGTGAACATGCAAACAAACATGCTCTGATGTTCATGATAATACATCATAGTTTGTTACTGGCAAATAAAAAAGGTCCCAAAGTTATACAAATCTGGTGACAGCGGATTATAAGACGCGACCGCGACTTTTTTGTTTCGGAATACAGAGAGGGAGAAGGTGATGCATGTATGATGTGGCTAATACGGTAAGCGCGCACGTACGGTTTGATTGTCAGACAATTCCAATCCACTGCTGGATGACTGCCTCCCCACGCATTCCGACATAATCCCCCACTTGGTCTTGAGTTGGTAAAAAAAAATATAAAAACCTCGCCACATTAGTCGGTCAATAAGACTGCCCAATTTGAAAAACAGTAATCGGCGATGTATCGGGCGACGTACCGTTAATAGCTGTGGACGACGTTAATGGCAAGAGAAGGCTGCAGGTCTCCTTTAAAAGGGGCAGTTACCGAAACGTCGCCTCGCTCTCCTTTTTTTTTAGGGCGGTTGTCATTCGCGTGAGGGAGTTTGTTATTTGTGCTAGGTTGGCACGGCCGACACAAGTATCGCGAAAACATATTTGTCTTGCGTCCTCGCTGAGCATAACTTAACAACCTTGACGTGCGAATTAAAAAAAAACTGCTTTAAGCCCTTGAACACTTGATCGATATTGGACACGCATACGTGTATTAATACACGGAGAAACACACGCTATTAATCAATGTTGCATATCTGCCGCGATCTTATAATCACTGTTGGATTCAGGCCTCTCTGCGTCCGTATACCCATCCCTCATAATCCATCTCTGTCGGTGAATGATTCTCTCAGTCGCGAATTTAGGGACCCAACCAGCTACCAAACAACGCTTGCAGCAGCGTGGCCTGCCCTAGCCCCACCGGGTTTTGTTAAGTCACTATCCTGCGGTCAAAATTTACGCATCTTCTCTGATCAGTGTGCCCCTTTTCAATATTTTCGCGATGCAATTCTCTCATTCACCACTCTGTGCTTCTTTTGCGCACTTTTAAACTTTCATGTCAAGTTTTGGTTCAGTTTACGTGTTTCTTGGCCCCCCATATGTCTCGATTTAAAGCTTTCGTGACTGTAAGGATTCATCTTCTTTGGTTCTTTCGGTAAAGTCACGTAGAATGAGAATAAAATAACATGTCATTGGACGTAATATGTACGCGTGAGAAAACTGATGATGATTGCTTGTGTTGCAATCGAAACGTCGTTATTCAATTTTTTTTTTACCCACGTGACTTTACCGAAAGAACCAAAGAGTATGGAAAACTGTTCTTATCTTCTTTGGTTCTTTCGGTAAAGTCACGTAGAATGAGAATAAAATAATACAATGATATAATAACACAATAATATTCTCACGACGTTTCGGCCACAACACAAGTAGCCTTCATGCAGTCACGCAAGCTTTAAATCGAAACTGTTCTTAGGTAATTTGGTGCTGTACGTTGCTTTATTTGTCAAGTTATGGTGGGCAAAAGCGCTCGGATCTGCTCGTAGCCTGGCGGGCCTACAATAACTCAAAAGAAGTAAACATTTATATTCTGCGATGATGATTTCCAGTTGTCCATCCCGTGGGTTTTGCTTTCATGGTTTGCCGACTGTTAACCATCCGAGCAATCCTCTTTATTCGGTTCAACTCTCTTCCTGGAGTACATTTCCGTTGGTTATTCTCATTACTTACATCAGCAAATTTTTTGAGTTTGTATGTACATATATAAATACTCCATTTATGTTTTCAAGGTTTATTTCTCCCAAACTATTTTCCGGCAAACTTGTCACGTTGCGTAAAGTCACGTAGGTGAAAATAAAATAACAAAAGATCACGACGTTTCGGCCACAACACAAGCGGCCTTCATCGGGTGAAGGGACGAGACTGTCTGGAGGACAGCGCTGGAGTGTTGTGGCAGAAACGTCGTGATTTTTTGTTATTTTATTTTCACCTACGTGACTTTACCCAATAGAACCAAAGAGTATGGATCCTAGCAGTCACGAAAGCTTTAAATCTCTAGTAGGTATTTGTATAAAATGCGTATTTTATTTACCTTCACGTAGCCTCATTGTACCGTTCTGTTGACCTATTTTAATGTTTGTAAAATATATAGTTAAAAAATATATATTTTTTAGTGCCTTGGTTTCTCAGCTTGGAAAACTCGATCAAATTTTCTCAAGTCACATGCCTTGTCATGGTTCACGAAGGCCTGGAAATTAGTATTTTACATTTATTTGAGTATTCCTTTTAAATCTTCACTTACAACTTTCGTGACTGCAGGAATTCATACTCTCTGGGTCTTTCGGTAAAGTCACGTAGATAGAAAAATAATTTTAAAAATCACGACGTTTCGATTGCTTGTGTTGCGATCGAAACATCGTGAATTTTTATTTTTTATTATTTTTCTATCTACGTGAGTTTACCGAAAGACCCAAAGAGTATATTCCTTTTAATATGAGATAGAATGTGTGTCGGAACTCACAGAGGAGCCTTTCATAAACACGGCCTGCTCGTGTGGTTCGTTGACCTCTTAATGATAACACTTTGATTTTCCAAACAAGCAGTCCTGCTGTTGTGTTTATTGTCTATACAGTAATGTATTATCACAACAGTAACTAATAGGAAGGTGTTAAACAGAAAGTACTACAATTAAATATACCGTAGAAAACAATAAGAGCAGATCGATATAGAGATATACATATTGCTTTGATAATCTTAAAACATGACATCTCTATTGTACACCAGCGAGACCTAGAATTTTATCGTTAGTTATGGCCAATAGTAAAATATCTTCTCAGCTCGACGTTGCTCGATCATTCTGCAGTGACCAAAGTCAGGTACCGTATTTATCTTTTTACGTAACATAAATGAGAGGTTGTGTGGAGTTGGCATAATTCTGTACCCATAACTTTTAAATAATGTAATAAAATGATTCGAATGCAATGAAACAGCATGGTAAATAATGACACGATACAATATTATTTTAACGTAGCCACTTGTTACCCCCCCCCCCACCATTATCATCAATGTAAAATGCCTTGAGGTTTTATGATAGGTGATCTATAAGCTGTAATTATTACTGTGGCTCAGGCTGACTTTTTGTTAGGTAAACACATCATTACAGTTTAACACGTAGGCTTTCGCGACCAATATTATTCGTAATAAAGGTTTTTGGGTTAGATCGCGTTTATTTATAAATGTGTCGTAACCCTCCACCACCCGACACGGCCAATCAGCAAAAAAAAGTGTCACGTTGACAAAAGACAAATAATTCACTACTTTAGCCCACCGGTGTGTTGAAGAGTGAATCCACAACATTTACAGTTTGAGTACGACGTTTCGCTGGTAAATACATCCAGCATCATCGGGCAATTCGCCAGAATGGTAAAGCCCTCGCTTGCTCCCGGTTTTATATAGAGCAGCAGCAGGGTGACGTCATCACTTAACTCATATCAGGTGCAGTGATTAGAGGCGGAGGGGGGGGTATTGTAATTATATAATCGATTAGTAATCAGTCATTGGTTATGATTAGTAATGAGTTGTAGATTAGTAATTCTTTAAATCAAAATGTAACGTGTATTATTTAATAATACGCTTCCAGGCCGCACTAAGCCTGTAGCTGTCAGAGCGATTAAAGTTATCATTACAGCCGATTCGACGTGTGCTTCGTTAACCCCGGCGAGGTTGGCGGTTGCCCCGGTGTGAGTTTCACGGCATGGTGAAACTCAACCCCGCAACTCGCCAGCGTAGTGAAGTATGGCCACTCGTCATCTCGCGGTCACAGAACAGCCTGAGGCCATGGTCCGCTATCGCCTGGTACGCCGAAATTCACCAAAGCGTTGCGCGGCCATGTTGACGCGTGGGATCTACATTGCCACCCGTGATGAAGATTGGAGATCAGAATTGGAGTTTTAAAGTAACTCGCAGCCAACGCGGAAAGATCCCTGGGTTTTATATTCCACGAGGCTCATGGGCGACCCTAAATCGCATCCACTGCACATGCGGGGATGCCTGATGCACAAATGGAAAATGAACAGCTCCATAGTGTGTGACTGGTCATCCAGAACAGACCGTATAACGATGCAATGCCCGATCCGCAAACATGAAGGAGACATCACACCCGATGCACTCCGCTGCTCCTGACGCAGTTATCTGGCTTTGACCACCTGAATGTGAAATTGTAGTTGTTGGGTCTGCATCTACATCAGCAGCCATACGAAAGAAGAAGTTCCTATGAATTGGAAAACGGGTCTGTCGCCTTTGTTTCCGGTTAAGAATCACTGGGTGTGAAATCGGTGTGCCTTGATTTTTTTTTAGTATTTTACCAGTTAAGGCCCACTGAGCTATACAGCTCTTTTTTTTTCAAAGGCCACCTGGCGACAAATGATAGCCCAACGAAGTGACCTACAACGTGGAAATTTATAGCAGCCAAATTATCTAAAACGCGTATCCATGCTAAATGTGGAGGGGGAAAACTGGAGGACTCGGACAAATTCACGTGACCACGGGGTGGAGCGAGAGAGAGGGAGAGGCACGCAAACTCCCAAATACACATCAGGCGTCAGGGTTGTGATCGAACCCGTAACCTCCTGCACATGAGGCGAGGTAGTTAACATCTTGCCACCGGTTGACCCGGAGAAAAATCCACACGGGGAGGGGGAGAGAGAAAGACACGCAAACTCCCAAATATACAACAGGCATCAGGGTTTCGATCGAACCCACGACCTTCTGCATACGAGGTGAGGTCGTCTACATCTCGCCACCGTGCGGTGCTGCGGAGGACCCGGAGATGGTAATCAAAGCAGACACTTGGTCAGTGTTCGTACACCACTGTGAACGTTTTGAAAGGTCCCCCCACTTAAGTATGAAGCACACTTCATTGGCTTCGACTTGTCGAATTGCAGGGGGCAGTATCGCGTTGTATCGACCAAGTCACAAGACTGTGACAGTTGGCGATCGTACGTGGAGGCCATTCGCCAGTGGAGTGACCGTGGCTGCTGCTGCTAATGATGGCCTGTCAGGTCATGTCCTGTAAAGAAACGTGCATTAAATAGTGCTGGGAGGACTGTGAACCATGAGGTTGAAGAGGTATAGAAAAAACACGAATTTTGCCTTGTTGTGGAATGTATGTATGCATGTTGAACTTCTTTCGCATCGTACATAGCCAACCGTGCTCATTGGAGGTACAGGATATAGGTATCGTCTTCCCTGGAGTAGAAAAAAAACGCTCTCCTGAAAGTAAAATCGACCCCAAACTTGTGCCCAATGTCAATGAAGTTACCCAAATGTGATTACACACACACAAATGCATACCTCCCTAGATTATAAAATGCACCGCCAGCATTTTATTTAAATACAGGGAAATAAGTGGGTATTATATTTCGGAGAAATTAGCAGCCTACGGTTGTTTTGGACCCATATTGTTTATCCTATATCAAACAAGCACTTGCTGGACTGGTTCAACCATTTTTGTATCATCAGCCGCGTTAAGCCAGTGGGACACTTCTAGATTGATCAGGGCCCTGATTTTCAAAAGCACTGCTCTGGCACTGCGACATTCCAGCAGCAAAGCCTTGACTGCTGATGAGATCGACACGGTCGAAAACCTGCCCATACTATGCCTGCCTAAACAAATGCCTCCGGATAATATCGGTCTGAAAACCACACGGGCCGATGGACTAAAACATGTAACATTTTTACATGGCGGGTCTTATTTTTTATTTATTTCAAGAGCTCTAGGTAATGCGTCAACAGTTGTGTTTTTCCTCCTTTATGTCATAGTTATTTCTGTTGCTTTTATTTTAGGATCGCCGCATTGCTGCCTGGAACGTTAGTCATCTTAAGCTAACGGTTAAAAATTTCCCCCTGCAGATACGGGAAGTGTCGCTGCAGGGCAATAAAAAGGAAGCCCTGCGTTTTCACTCTCCTTTCTCGGTGTAAACCGGTTTATGGAGCCTCTGGCCTCTCTCTCCCCCCTCTGTTATGAAGGGCCCTTTTCCCCAAACACAGCCCATTTTACTACACCTTTTCATTCTCAAGGAAGTGCTACTGACGTGGTCGTCGAGTCGTTTTATTATTTGTGCTCGGCACCACCGACGCAGTAGCATCGCTTAATAATCATGCACGAGTACAGCGGGGTCATTCGACTAGTTGAATAATCGGTTGCTCTGCCGATTATTGGGTTCGATGCCTCATATCGGATAACACGAACGTAGTTCGGTACGGGGAAAAACAAAAATAAACCTTAACCTCTGCAATCATGCGTTTCCGCTGGATGGGAGGTGTTGCCAAGGTTGGTGGCGTCGTCAGGCGCGTCAAGCCGAGCGTTGGTCGCTCTCAGGAAGTATGATGTGGGGCGAGGCTGCCATTTACAAAGGGCCTCTAGGAATCGTCCAGTGACTTCCCTTTGCCGAACGAATACGTCATGAGGTCGCGTTCACTACACACACACACAAAGTGCTTGCCACAAATGAATCGCAATACCTTGCTGATCTCGTCAAGGAGCATAAATCATCATCACGCGAACTCCGGTCATCCTCGCAGGGGCTTTTGGCTGAGCCATCGAACAAAGACGGTGGGCGCCTCATCGCGCACTTTCGGATGCGCTTCTGCGGCCGGCTGAAACGCTCTTCCGATGTTAGGAAGCCACTGGAGTTATGCACAGTCAAAGCGCACCTTTACCGAACCGATTCGTTTAATATGCTGCACCGCTAATCTCCCGAGATATAATCTCTCAACCTGGGGCAAACCCGTGCCACACGCTGCAGCCGTGTGAGTTCTGCGCGAAGGCTTCCCCCGGTCGGTCGTAGCAGTGGTGGAATTTCCACCGTTGGCTCGGGGGCAGTTGTGGACAGTGGTGAGCAGAGCCAACGATGTGTTGCTTTGAGCGCGGAGAGGCTTGGACTAAAATGAAAGCGTGCTTCACGAGCGCGATAAGGTTCCACTGGAGAGGCCTTCTCCTCTATCTCAACTGCTTGCATGTTTGGGGGGGGGGGAGGGGTCACCCTTAAGCTAGCGACAATCTCTAACATAGTTCACATGCTGTTGCTCTTAAGTCTCCCGCGCACGGCTTGACGTTTTGCAGTTGCCAACTGGAGTGGATTTACCATGCCCCAAAAATAGCCTCGTTCGCATTCCAGATCGAGCAAAGTAATTCCACACCCGCAAAAAAAAATCAAATCTGGATACCGACTGGATTTCTGTTGTTGCGTCGGTGGCTTTTGATGCAAATTCTACCGGAATGGACCTGCATATAAAACGTGTGCATCTTTTCTGATGGACATCCGCCCGTGTCGTTTTGACCATTACGAATACGACTGAGAATAAGGCCAAGGTTCAGCGGTCACGTGAGCAACGACAACGATGTGTCTCGCCCCACCACACTTTGACCATCGTCTTGCCTGCTGCTGCTGCTGGGGTCCATCGTAGCAAAGCCGATAACCCAGCCCTCCAAGCGCCGTTGAGTTGTTACGGATTGAGATGAGTGTTTGATTTGGCAGCTTGTTGCAATGCTGACCCATGAAGTAATTTACACAACCGAAGGCAATGGTAAACAAATCTAAAATGTGGTGTTCAGATGTACGCATCTGGACGTGTGTGTTGCGCAATAACTAGTTTTCTTGGGAAATAATTCATTATCGTGTTTGGGGGGAAAAAAAAAGTTGTGCTGGCTGGATTCTTGCGCAATGACATCACGTGCAGTCCCACAGCGTTGAGTCGGATTCCTGCGTTGCGCTCATTTCATACCCCCACCCCAATCGCTCTCCACCACCCCGGCCTTCGATGCTGTGCAAATGTGCCGGATACCCTATCACTCTGTGTTTGAGAAAAGTTTGGCTGGCTGGCTGGCTTGCTGGCTAGGAGGAGGGAGGGAGGGAGGGCATATGAGGTACATCCACGTCATTTGGACTGCGCGCTGATAGCGTTGTTTAAAAATAATAAGTACAGTAAAACCTTGGATTGCGAGTATAATTCGTTCCGGAAACGTGTTTGTAATCCAAAGCACTCGTATATCAGTTGTGATCACGTGACGCTCGCCAGACAAGCGTACACGTACACTACTCGTATTGCAAGACCCTCGCTCGTTTATCAAATTAATAATTTATTTAAAATTTTTGCTCGTCTTGAAAAACACTCGCAGACCAAGTTACTCGCAATCCAAGGTTTTACTGTACATTTGTTGGGCCACCGTTTATTTTTCGATTTAAAGCTTTCGTGACTGCAAGGATTCATCTTCTTTGGTTCTTTCGGTAAAGTCACGTAGAATGAGAATAAAATAATAAAATAACACGATAAAATTCTCACGACGTTGAAGCTCTGTCGTCGCGACAGGTCTGTTCCTTCCACCGTTTATTGTTGAGAAGTGTGTTTTATAGTCGTTGTCTTGTTTCCAGCGCAAGCTATCGCGCCCGCGAAGGGATGACCCTCGTGCGCGAATCCCTCCGTGGTCTGGCCCCAACGTATCTCGCTTCTCTCCTTTCGTTCCACGCTCTTCTCCGCTCGCCATCCCAGCTGTCTCACTGTCTGTTCCTACCTCCTTGTGCCCAATCACCATTCCACGTTTTTCTCGCTTCTGGTTCCCCCCTTTACACTGGAAACCAAGTGCCCCTAAGTGCCAAATAATCGACCTCGCTGTCCAAATCGCGTTCATCCCTTAAAACCCTCGTTCACTCGCCTACCCCAACTCCTCATCCTCCTAACTCCCATCCCCTTTGCTAACTTCCCGAACCTACTCATTGCACTCGTTCATCGTCTGTTTCATCATTTAATTTCGCGCATAATCTTATTTATTACGCACCACCACCACCACCATCATTTCAGCACACTTCTGCTGTCGAAATGTATAATTACTTTTTCAGCGCCTTAGTCAAGGAAGTATATGAATTAAAATAAGGTGCCAACGGTGGCTCGGAGATGTTAACTACCTCGCCAGGTGTACAGGTGGTCGTGGGTTCGATCCCGACCCTGACGCCTGTATATATGGAGTTTGCGTGTTCTCCCCCGTGGTTGCGTGGATTTTTCTCCCGGGTCATTCGGTTTTTCCCTCCACATTCAGAAACATGCGCTTAGGGTATTTGGCTGCTAGAAATTTCCACATGATGAGGAACTTCGTTGAGCTATCATTTGTGGCCAGGTCACTCCTATAGCTCTGTGCCTTACTTGGTAAAATAAAACGTTGTTTAGTTTATAAGATAAAAGTTCTAACGTGTCTGCTGTTGCTTTGTGTGCGTGTTGTTGCAGTATGCTGTGAAGTAAAGTGGGATTCCATCTGAAGTCGAGGTATAAAGAGAACAAAAACCAACGAAAACGCTGCTCAAAGAACCTAACGACGTAAAAACTAAAGAAAAAAGTAAAAAATTTCCACCGCGCCAAGAAAGATACCAAAGAAACCGAGCAGAGAACAACTAAAAGGGAACGTAAAAATTGTAATCTTTAAGACGAATCAAGTTTGAATCCAGCGTCGCCAAGTTTGTACCTACTCAACAGCTTCAATCGGCACTCTGACTGCTGCAGTCCACACAACCTCTTTAACAAAAAAACAACAACAACAACAACAACCGCCCAGCCGCTGTGGTGGTACGCTGTGGTGGTACGCTGTGGTGGTACGCTGTGGTGGTACGCTGTGGTGGTACGTGTGTGCCAGCACGTGCCGTGTACCCCACCGCGCACCGCCGCGTGAGCCCAACGGCCGTCGCGCGGTCTCGTCAAAACCACAAGCAAGGCAAAGTCACGAAACGTGCACCTCTTTACGAAGAGACCTTCAACTGCAATTTTTCCGATACGAGTAATTAAAAAAAAAAACGCGAGCAAGGTGCGTACCACGCTTCCGCCGGCCGTGTCCGCCCCCCCCTCCCCCCCAACGCGTCGAGCCGGTGAGCATCTGCTCTTGTCGCGCCCATTTTTTTTTTTCCTTCGGCGGGTTTCTCCGTTGAGCGGTCGCGTGCCTCCTTTTAAACCCCTTTCCTCATTCCGGTGACGCGCACGCGCGCACGCACGCACGCACGCGTACGTACGTCACCGGTTTTTCTTCCGATGTTTGCACGCGACCGCGCTGTCCGGAGCCCTTTTCAGGATGTCCAACGCTGCCGCCCACGGCCTTTCGGTTCGGGATACTGGTGGGTGGTCAAGCGGGGGTCGGCGCTTTCGGAAGAGTGGAGAGTAGCCCGTCCCCTTACAAAAACCACACGTTGTTTCTTCGCACCCAACCAATCCCGCGTGGTTCTTTGCCCGTTTTTTTTTTTGTTTGACAGTTGATGAAAATACCCAGGGTACAAGAGCTATAATGTCGTCGTCCGCTATCAGCTGAGGATCCACGCGTACCCCCCACCCCTCCCCACCACCACACCCCCCCCCCCCCGCCAGGGTAGAACCCCTGCTGTAGTTCCGTCACTTGTCTCGGGCGCCTGCCCCACCCATCACAACCTCTTCCCCCCCCCCTCCTTCCTCATTTACCTTCCCACTACTTTGCACTCCCGCCGTGTTTTCTTTAGCGTTGTTTGTTTGCGGCAACTTTCTGACCCTGTGCCCCCCCCCCCTTTTACTGGACATCTGTGAAAAAGAGCATTGTTACGGCTCATCAGATATATAATCGATTCTGACGTCCGTGACTCTTGTGCTACGCTCCGTTCAGAAACCTCCCTAGTTACTCGCACCCCCCCCCGCCCCCCGCCCCCCCCGCATCTCCTTCCGTGAAATCCCTTGGCATCCTCTACGTGCACCTGCACTCAAATGCAAATTTTTCTCGGAAGTAGCTCGGGTGGGAAGGTGTTGTGCGCCCCCCCCCCCCCCCTCCCCCTCTTGATATGTGGATTGGAAGGGCAGTTGAAGGCATCTTCGGAGTGCCGTTGAAGTTCGCTTTGATGGGGGCCGTATTCTCTCTCACACGGGGGTGATGCTGCGCTGCTCACGGCGAGTTTCCTGTGGGTCCGTCACGTCTTGACGCGACGCCGATAGCACGGTCGGATTTATATTTTTGGGGGGGGGGGAGGTTTAAGCAAAAAATCGTCAAAATGATCACCTATGGGGGAGGAGGTGTAGCCGCCGAGACAGGATAATAATCCCATCTCTCCACGTGCACCTTGCGTGCCGCTGCCCCGTCCTCTCTCCATATGCTGCTGCTGCTGCTGCCTTCCCTCTCCTCCCCTTCCCCCCCCCTCCCCCTTCCCCGCTCGGTCGTCTCCGTTAAAGTCGCCGCGGTTGTGACGATGGCCGGCGCTTGGAAGGGTTTCTCCTCCACGGCCGAGTTCCCTGTGTCCCTCTGCCCCTTGGAGTGCGCGGGTCCTGATGGCGGTGGCGTCGTTGGTGGTGGATGCCCCCCCGTGCCAGTCCGCGCGTCCCACGCTCTGGGCGTCTCCCCGTCGCACCGCTCCACCGTGAGTGTGCGTTGATGACGCCTGGGTTCGACTCCACGTCAGGTTTTTTTTCCCCGCGGTGGGTGGCGGGATTCGCTTGCCCAACGTTTCACCGGGGGTCGCCGCCGCTGGTCGCACGCAACGGGGGGGGAAAAACGGCGCACTCTGTCGCCGCGTCAAGCAACCAGTTCGCGTGACATCCACACAAGCGTCATTTAGTTCCACGCAGCCTTGTTGGGCAAGCAATCGCTCGGGAGTTACGATTCTGGAAGTCGTTGCGATTATAATTATTGCTTGGCATTGCGGTGTATTGTTAGCGCAATTTTTTTGGCTGCAAGGGGTCGGGGGAGGAGGGGGGGTGGGTCACGTGAACCAATAGCATCGCGACGCGTACAACACGACAACGATCGTTTCGCACGTTGCCGGGATGCCGTGCGCGCGCAGCGAGCTCACAGATCGATTTGTAAGTCCAGCAAGGCATTGGTGGCGATTGGTCACTTGAAAAATGTTGGCGTCGATCGAGGCAATCGCCGCGGTTTATCGCATCGTATCCGTCTTGCAAGATGTTGCTTTCTCCCCCGATCGGCGTCATTGCTCGTTTAATTTTCTCCCCACGACTAATTTCCTGGCAACATATGCACGAAATAGTTAAGGTTTTCGCTTATGGTTTAAAGCTATAAATAGATTATCTCCCATTTAAATCTGTGCTTTTTAAAGGCACCACAGCTGTTACGTATCACATCATCGTTTTCTGACAGCCTGCCGATATAGCCTGCAAAGTTGCAATAATTATTAGAAGACATGGTACGGCACTTAATGTTGCGTGACCTGTGTTACTAATTTTTCACGCTTTTACGTACTTGGGAGGACAAAAGCAATGCAGTACAAACGTGCATTGCAACTTTTACAGAGTCATGGGGAACTGATGTCTCTGGTTGTCAAGTTTGTGAAAATGTGTTCCTATATCGAGTCTAGCGAAAAGTGATATCGCAGCAAACTCTTACCTTCGAACATAACCAACGTAGGACCACAGAGCTTGGACAATTGTCGGCGGGGGGGGGGGGTCCTGGTTTCTGTTTCCTTGCTGCCCCCTCTTCCCAACTCCCGCCCCCCCCCGCCACCTCCACCACTTCCATCTTCACTCCTCTTTTCCATCCTCCTCCAGTCCCGCGCACATCCGTCCTCCAGCCAGCATCCTGCTCAGCGCAGACGCAAGCCACTGTACCAGCGCTCAGTAAGTCGCCCCCGAGGCGCTTAAACCGCCAGCGGGGGGCGGTGTGTGGCGCGCCTCTGTGACGGATCGGCGGTGAAGGGAGTCCGCCCTCGCAACCAACGATCCCAAACTACTAACGTGCCTGGCCTGCCCGCGCGTGCCTAACTTGCCTTGCCTGTGTGCCGTGTGCCCACTAATGAAATGCGCAAATGACGACAACAACAAAAAATGTGACGAACAGCAGCGGGCACCTGAAAAAGTGCATTGCGGTCCTCGCCTCGCTGGTCGCCGTCAAAATAAATTTGAGCAAATGTGAGCGACCGTGGGGCAGCGGCGGATATTTTCAGGGGACTCTGCTTACGATCGTTCGACTTGCGAACGTTCAGGGATACGAACAAGCCTGGCCCGTACGTCCAGTTGCCTGCTCGGAGCGAGAGTCGTAAGTTCAACCGCCGCGGAATAGATATGGCGGTGGTTGTGTTCGGTGTCATTACCCAGCATTGCCAGCATTTCTGCATGGAGAAAGGCACGAGTCTCAGGACCCAAACACTGAAAAGGTTTACTGAGGTGTCGGCAGCTGTTCACGATGCTGTTCCCCGTCACAAGTTGATTTACGAAGAGAAGAGAGCAACTGTGCAGACTAAACATGAGCACCAAAGGGAATGAGCATCTACATCTATAGAACATGAAGAGAACCAGTAGCATCGACATCTGTAGAACATGAAGAATCCGTGGCATCTACATCTGCAGTAGATTATACAACTTTAAAATCTATTCCCCATGTTTAGTATACATGCCATACAACACGTTTGGAATCGACAGAAGTAAAGTTGGACTTAAGATCGATTTACGAACAGACCTGGAACCTAACTCGTTTGTAAGTAGAGGAGTCCCTGTAGAGTTTGATGTAACGATATGCGTTCTCTGTAATGCCCTGTCGTGCATTCAGAGTCGTAGGCGGCACTTCTGATCGTTTATTTGTTTTCATGCGGCTAAAACGTTTAATGTTTATTTTTTTGTTTCTCTTAACCCCGTTCGTGCCACACTCCTTTTCATGTTTTACATTATAAAGATGTAATTTTGTGTTGTGCAACCCCACAGCCACGAGGTTGACCGAGGGTGGCGGGCCTGAAACCTTTTAGAAAATGCGCCCTAACCTCTCACCTCTCACGCCCCCATGCCCCCCCCGGCCTCCGATGACCCCAACACGCGCGTGCCCACGCGCTGCCTGAGGAGTTGGCATGAGCATTGAGCCGTCGGTGGCGGCCACACCGTCGATGAGAATGGTTGGGGGGGGGGATCTGACCATCTCTAACCCCAGTTCCACCCCCCCCACCCCCACCAGCCCTCCTGGGGGTTAAGTTTTACGGTTTGTGTTCAGCAGTTCGGCGTTTGGTCGTGCAGTTCATAACGCCTCGTTTTTATATTTTCGTGCTAGTGTTTTTTTGGGTCAGGCCGTGCAATGATCTGGCCAGATTTGTGTCATTAAGACCCCCCCCCCCCCCAGGACCCGATCTAGCCAAACAAATCAAAAAAATCCCAACTGTTTGAATCGTTTTTTAACTCGCCATTGAGCTGAACAATAATAATAACAATTGGCGCGTTAAAGTTTGGCACGTGGGCCCAGTTCCATTTAGTTTGGCCACATCGGGTGGTGGCGGGTCCCAACCAAAAAACAAATTTTTGGCCGATCGTTGACGTGGCCTTACCCAAAAAAAAAAATCCCGACTGCTCCATCATTAATGCCGGCTGCGAAAAACCTACTACGCGTACACATTTTCACTTCCAGCTATCTTGCCCACTCTTGTCCGCCCTTGCCTGCCCCACTCGTCTGCCCGCCATCGGCTGGCGCGGTCCAGGTGTGAGTCGTCTCTGCGCGTCTCGTGCGCCAGCTTGACGGGAAGGCAGATGGTGTTGTGCCCAATGTGGGCGTTGGTGCGCGTGTGTTTGGGCACGTCGGTATTGACGCTTTAAACAACAGGTTCTGCCAGTTTTTTTTGCGAGGAGGAGACTTCACAGTTTGCGTGAGCGCATGACTGTGTAGAATGCTTGGGGGGAGCAGTGGTGTAGTGGTTAGCGCGCTGTGCCACGAACCCAGCGACCCGAGTTCAATTCCCGCTCGTGGCCAACGCCAACCAGGTGGCGATTATCCGGAACGGTCCTAGGCCCTTCCCTAGGTCGACTCGGCCTTAATATTCAGTACCTTGTGCGTTTTGTGAATATCGCCACTGCGGCTATAAAGTTGGGTGTGGAACTGCACGAAATGTGTGTGGTGGTATGCAGCAGATAGCTGGCCGTGCACAACGCTTGCGATTGAATTCTGAAACCGGTCTTGAGGCCTCGCAAAGGTCAGCTCAGCCTAAAATGAGTACGTGGCGTGTGACCGGTGGTTGTTGTTCGCACATGGGGGGGGGTGGCTGGGGGCGGAGTAGGTTGGCGGTGTTTTCGCCCACACCAATCCGTGTGGGACTTTTTTACTGCTCTTAACAGGTGCTCGCTAACGGCAACACCCCTGGTGGGTGCATGGCTCTGTGTGAGATGGTTGTTGTTGTGCCCTCCCGTTGCCGTTGATGCGGCCGTGTCGTCGGGCGTGCACACCCAGCAGCGGCGACAACAACCCCACTAACCGCGGCCAACCCCCCCCCGCCCTCCGCGTGGCTTCAGGCACTGCAAGACAACTCTCGATTTATCCGCGGTAGCGAGAGGGGAAGGACGGCCCGGATCGAACAAAAAAAAAAGAACGCGGATAATAATTATGAAGTCCGGAAATACACTTGCGTAAATTAGGCTAGTGAAAACGTACCGATTGATTACGGTCGTCTTAACGGGGCGGGGGGGGGGTGGTAATGAACTTTGAATGGATTCGCCTTGGTGTTTTTATTTCCTCCTCAAGTAAAGCGGCGTTTGAACTGGCCGGTGTTTTTGCGGCCGCGTGGGCACCGGGCCGCCGAGCCCCCAACGGGCGATTTAAGATGTCAACGGTTTGGCAAGCACCGGTTAACCTCATTTGGATAATCCACCCGCGGAGAATCAAACTATTCCTGTCTTTTGCATTTGTGAATGACAGGTCGTTGGCACGGCGGTGTGTCATCCCACATGCGGGGGGCACGCCCTTTTTTGAGTCCCCTTTTTGATGGAGATGAACACGTTTAAACCCGGGAGCTGTGCATGATGAGGGAATGCCAACTCCGGCACTTGGGGCACGTGGCTCCTGGCTTTCCCCCTTGGTTGACCTCGTTCAGCGGGTTCTCTCTTGTGAGCTCGAGAACCCCGTGGGTGAAGGCGGAGGGAAGGGGGAGGCCGAGGGGTCGGCCACAGCCCCGAGGCTGCGTCGGGTCGACCGCTGCTGTCGAGACTCGGCGATAGAAAGGGGGCTCTCTTGGGGGGCTCGAACAGTCGGGGACCCCTAGGAAGGGAATTTTTTTTTGGGCAATGCCAGGGAGGGGGGACCCCTAGAGAGAGGACACTTCGCTTGGAGACTGTTCCAGGAGGGACTCCCAAAGAAGGGGGCTTTTTACTTGGGGGGGGGGGGGGCTTTGCCAGGAGTGACCCCTAGCAGTTGCCACTTGAGTGTCGGTACTGCTACTACTCCGCGGCACTGTCTGGGCGTGTGCTCCCACACTTGACTCGAGATGCTGTCGCATAAGTCCTCAGAGTCGGGCGGCGGCGGGGGAGGGGGGGGTGAGAGCCGCCGCCACCTCCTCGCGCTCGCCCGTCGTTATCCATCGTTGAGCGCGCTGGGGAATAATTGGCGCTGGCTGTACCTCTCCCCTCTCCCCCTCCGTCTGCGCAGATGAGCTATGACGCGAGCCTGTTGAACGGGGACGGCGTGACGGTGGGCCCTGTGCTGCGCGAGACCGGCTGCGTCGAGAAGCTGATGCAGTCCTACGGCTTTGTCAAGTGCTACGAGCGCCAGGCGCGCCTCTTCTTCCACTACTCGCAGTTCCGCGGGCACGTGCAGGACCTCAAGGTCGGAGGTGAGCAACGCTGTGCGCGCGTGTGTGTGTGTGTGTGCGTGTGTGTGTGCGTGTGTGTGTGTGTGCGTGCGTGTGTGTGTGCGTGTGTGTGTGCGTGTGTGTGTGTGTGCGTGCGTGTGTGTGTGCGTGTGTGCGTGTGTGTGTGTGCGTGCGTGCGTTGAACTTGTTGAGCGCCGCACGTCGCCAATCGGAGGTGCGACGCCTCCGCGATTGGCGTTGCTGTTTATCGCTCCGCTTGTATTCCCAGCAGAACCTCGCTCGGTCCTGTGATGTTGTTTTTCAGGAGCGTCCTGCCGAGTCGTCCCCGTGGGGGCGGCGATTACTGCGTGTACTTATAGTTCGATTGAGTGATTAGCGGTGGGTTTTTTTTTTCTTTCTGTTTGGCAAATTTTGGCCCGTGATGCCAGCACACACAACGAACGGGGGGGGGGGGGGGGGGGGTGGGGCTCACTCTTGCGTTCTGGCGTCACGGGGAGAGATCTTTTATTGCGGGGATCGCTCGCCCACGGTATTCATCGGGGGCGGCCGCGGGGAACCTTGCACCGTGAGCAACTGAAGGCGGCGGTGCAACAGACGAGAGCCTGACGTTTATTGAGTCGAGCGAGGTCAGAAGAGACAGTGCGGGGGGGGGGGGGGGGGGTGCGGTAGAAGGCGGCGCGCAGGAATTGCGAAAGTCGACCCGCCCGCCAAGCAACGCCCGACGGTGGTCGATCGCAGCCCCCCTCAACCTGGAGCCCACGGCTCGATGACCCCCCCCCCCCATTGCGTGTCCTCTCACACGTGCCCCCCGCCCCCGCGCGCCCCCCCTGCATACCCCACCCCTCGCCGCAGACGACGTGGAGTTCGAGGTGTCCACCGACCGCAAGACAGGCAAGCCCATCGCCGTCAACCTGCTCAAGGTGAAGCCACCAGTCAATTCGTTCGAGATGCCCACGGAGGAACGCATCGTGGGGCAGGTGAGAGGGGCTGTGTGCGCCGATCGCCCCGCCGCGGGCAGGGCCGGCCCACGGGCCTCGCTAGGCCGGGGGTCGCATGCCCGCCGCCGCCGCCGCCACCGCCGGTGGCGGCCTGGGAGAGCGAGTTGGCACGGGATGGGCACGATGGCCAGGCGCCCCCCCCCCCCCCCCCCCCCGGTAGTAAATTTTAGCCATTTTAACGATATTTTTTATTTTACCAGGTAAGGCTCCACTGAGGTGTGTAGCTCTTGTTTACGGAAGCCGACCCGGCCACAGACGATAGCTCGGCGAAGTGGCTTATCGCGTGAAAATGTAGAGCAGCTAGGATGCTCGAAACGTGTGTTGTTGATTCTAAATGTGTAGGGAGGGGGAAAACCGGGTGGCCCGGGGAAAAATCCACGCGACCACGGGGAGAGATAGACACGCAAACTCTAAATCTACAGCAGGCGTCAGGGTTGGGATCGAACCCACGACCTCCTGTACACGAGGCGAGGTAGTTAACATCTCCTAGCCACCTCTTGACTGACGCTACAACCAGAAATTCCCGTGGTTATGGTGCCAATTGGTTAGTTTCTTTCTTTCTGTGTTTTTTCATGCCCTTGAAATTACATTTTGGAAGGGGTAGGCGGCAGAGAGCCACACTTTCCAATCACCGCATGGAAGGTTGCGTGCGGTGGTATGGGTTAAGGGGTTTAATCGCACAACACCTCGCTGATCTCGTCAAGGACCATAAACTATCGCGCAAACTCTGGTCACCCTCGCAGCAGCAAAGACTTTTGGCTGCCCATCGAACAGACGGTCACCGCATCTCGCGGTGCTTTCAGACGCGCTTCCGCGGCCGTCTGGAATGCTCTTCCTTCCGATATTAGGAAGCTGCTGTGATCTACGCCCCTTTTAGATCATCATCTAGATTGAAAACGAATTTCTTTAGGACCGCTTTTTGCATTTTGTTTGTCCTTCGTCCTTCCCCATTAGTAACGGTGCAAAAGAAGTTCAACATACGTACCTGCATACGTTAGCGAGCGCCTATTGAAGGCTGGAACGGCCTTCAATAGGCCGAGTCAACCTTGGGGGTGGGGGGGGGTGCAGCGGGGGGGAGCCCCAGGACAGGATTAATAAATCACTCCCAAGGTGCGGCTACTCCCAACCCTTTTTCCAAGACCGACTGGCCGGCGTGAGCGGGTCGCGGTGCACGACAAGGCATCGCGTGGCGTCCCATCGTCCACGCTCAAGGGGGAGCAACCGTCGCTCTTGTCGCCCCCCACCCCCCACCGAGCCAGCGTTGGAAATTCCACGTTCCCTTGAAAGGGACGGCCGGCACCCCCACCCGATGTCTGCGTGGGACGGTCGGTCGAGCGGTAATCATTTTGGCCACCCTCAAATTACTCGGAGGGGATGTCGGTCTGAACCGTGGTGGCGCAAGGCTCGCTTGCGGTTTTTTTTCAATGGCAGCATCCCTCCCGCGTGACGGTTCCGACGACAGCGAAGTCCGCGCCCCTTCCGACAAGTAAAGCCAGCCAGCGTCGGGACTCGAGATGAGTGAAAGTAAAACGGATTTGTTTTTTTTTCTTCTTCTTCTTTTCACGTTACCTAATTTTAACTTCCTGTAAACTCATGAACAGTCTTCTTGTTTGCGAATTTAGCAACGCTTCCCCTTTCTTGTTGAACTGTAACGCATTCCATAACGCTGGCCTCGTGGGCATATGAATGCAGTGCATCGCTGTGTTTCCAACTTACGGAACCGGTCCACGAATTGTCCGTAACCCGAGGGCTTGCCCGTACAATATATCCTTATTCATGAGTTTTAACAATGCTGCTTCCTTTTTATTGTTGAACCGTAACACAATCCGTGACACTGATCGTACAATTAAATTTTGAGTTCTGAGATACAAACAAAACCGACTTGCGAATGGGAATCGGGAACGTAACCCCGTTCGTAAGCCTGTGTGTGTGTGTATATATATTTCCTTCTAAAGCCCCATCACTACTACAGACATCACTGCTATCACCATCACGGCCATCACAGCCATCCTTCTCTTATAGGTCCGACCAGATTATCCCGTACCTCCGATCTTCCCCCTCGCCTCTGATTAGCACGGTTGGTGCTACGTACGGTCCGAAAGAAGTTCAACATACAAGTTGATCGTCAATTGCCGATTATCCGGCTGCTTCCAACATTACCTGGTGGTCCTGGGCCGATCCGGCGAAACCGCTCCAAAGGCTGTAACCAGCCCGGCAATCGGCACTGCGTGTCAAAAAAAGTAGCTATGCTTGATTATCAGTGTTAAATATTATATACACTACATTATACACTACATATAACAACTTAATGAAAATACTGCACATATATACATCACCCCATGCAGAGTCTTCGAGATTAGAGTGGTAAGCACGGTACAGTAAACACGGTAACTTTTTAAAAGCAGGATATATTTATTTTTGTCTTTGTATATTTATGCCAGTTTCACATAGTCAACAAATTTACCCCCCCCCCCCCCCCAAAAAAAAAAACATAACAACACCTACAAACAAGATTGTGCAAAAATAAGCAATTTTTAATAACGACGATGTGATTTTTCCGGTGTTTTAGCGCACGGTGCTATTTCTGTAGAATCGGCGGTTCTTGTAGGCCGGTATCGAGGCTGTGGGGCCGCTGCCCACGCTGGCTGGAGGGCCGCGCCAACTTGACAGCAGGGTCGTGGCCACGATACGCCGCCGTTCGATGTTTAGAGCGGCGACTGTCGTGGCATCGCTGTTGTTTGTTTTCCCGCCGCGCCGCGATTGTCCCGATGCTCGTTTTTTTTTTTCACCCGAAATGATTTTTACTTTTTATCCGCAGGTAATACATTTGTGGAATGATGAATGTGCTCATGAAATGTGTTCATAAATGCCCCCCACCCCCCCCCCCCCTCTCCCCCACACATATTGTTGGTTCGTTTTTGGTCTTTTTGTCTTTGCCAATTTCATAACTTCATCCCCCCCCCCCCCTTCTGTTTTCCTTCCTATGTATTTCTCTCCCTGCCGTTATTATTTGTACGACGTGTTATCTATCACGCTTGTTCACCTGGGAAAGCCTCACGAGTTGCCCAAGCTCTCCATATTAAGTTGCGTTCAGACAATTGATGAGACCTTTTTTGCACGCGGGAGGAAACCGAAGTGCCCCCCCCCCCCCCCCCCCCCGAGAAAACCTACGTTCGTGCGATGGTGCAACGCTATCCCGTGCAGACGGGAGAGATGACTGGCTACTCCATAACCTCGCTTGTACCACTTTATCCTGGCAAGCTAGGGGGGGAGGAGGGGGGGGGTACATCATCCACCCCTTCTCGACACCCACGTGGAGAAGGGAATTTTCGCCACTACCTCCACAGTTGCTGGGCCCACAGGCAGCCGCTCGGCGCGGCGACGTAGCAAAACCGTCGCCTCCGCTCGGCCGGCTAAAGCTGCTCGCTTAACCGGGGAGAGACGCCTCCGCCTGGCCCGCCATCCACCGCCGGTTTGGCTGTCGCCGCTCTGGCTGTTGTCACGGTGGGTGGCGGCAGCGGCCCGCGATCACGCGGTGCTTTGTCGCCAATGGTTGGTGGATTGCGTAGAGATTTGCGAACCCACCCGGGCGGAGCCTTTTTTCGGCGTATGGCCGCCAGGGTTTTCCTGTCGGATTACTCGGATTTCCTCCCACGCACGCACGCACGCACGCACGCGCACGCACGTAAAATACTTTTTGGAACTCTTTGTGTAGGCCAGACAGTCCCAAAGACATTGCACGTATTATCGGATCGTGTTTTGCATGTTCACCACAAGTGCTCTGTGTGGTTAATGCAGTACTTGATTCCTTGCAAAAAAAATATATGATCAATTTGGTGTTTGAACATCTTAACACACCGCCTTTTTTTTTTTTTGCCAGAAAGGGGTTAAAACCTATTCTTATTTTTCATCCTCTAAGATACTGGCAAAAAGGTCCAAATCCGTAGCTGCTCACCCCGAGCTGTGAATGCTCTGATGTGTGGGCATTGTCTTTGCACTGGTCGCCTTTTGCCGTTCTCTAGCCTGTGACACTGGTGACACTAGGCCCCCGAAAGAGGAAGGCTGCCTCTGGTGTAGGCCAATCAGTTGGTGTACGAGTAACGGACTTCGATTCCTTGCAAAAAATGTATCTGCACTAATTTGGTTGTTTGGACATCTTAACGCCTCCTGTTTCATTGCCAGAAAGGGGGGGGGGGGTAAAAAACCTATCATTATTTTTCCTTCTATATAAGGCACGCTCGTTACGAGAAGACGCAACCTAATAAGCGGGACCGCTCTCGCGATAGATGCACGCCGGGACCGTTGTGTGTGTCTCTCGGACCGGCACGCGTCGTGTTTGTTTTTTTGGAGCCGCGTTAGGAGCGAGTAAGAGAAACAATGCACGCGCTGTGGATTTGCGTAGCCCCTTTCCAACGCGCGTTTGGTCTTCGGAAGTGTTTTAGTCGGCGGTCTGAAAGGCGGCGGCGGGGGGGCGGTTAGCTTGTGAGTTCCGGGACCCGCACCCTTTGCACGCATGCAAACGTGCCCGTTGCTCTTTCATCCGATTTGTGTATTTGCGGGGTTTTTTTGGTGGGGTGGGTGGGGTGGGGCGTCCATTTGGCGTGATCAATTTGGCCGGTTTTTTCCCCGACATTCGTAAAATTAATGGCAGCGCAACTTTTTTGCGGCAAAGTTTGGTTCCGTTATTGGATCGTTTCTACGAGATTTTATCGTGACCTCTCTCCCCCCCACCCCACCCCTCCCCCACCCCCATCGTGTGACGGACAGACAGCGGTGAACGCGTAAATGCTTGGTCAACTGCGGGTTTGGACGGCGCTGCGTAGACTCCCATCGACGTCACGGTCAGATGAGCCGGCGCGTGTCTGCCGTTGACATCGCCGGCGTTGCGTTCGTAAGCGTAGGGGGCCTCCCCGACCCGAGTTTGGTTTCCTTCATAATCTTGACTGACTTTTGGACAAAATTTGGGACACTACAGGGTCATCAATTTACGAAACGGATGGATCGTTTGTTACCGCTGTGAAATGGAAGAGTCTTTTTTTTCGTCCCATCGCCCCTTTGCTTTAATGAGACTTGGGTAATCGAAAGTGGGGGGCTGGGTTTTTCCCACCGGTATTCCGTTGGAAACAGAATACCGAATACCCAGGCGGCGCTCTTCCGTCTGGGGTGGGGAGGGGGGGGTGGGGGAGGTGGCGCTTGGATTTCGTGACGCCGGTAAACTTTCATCGATCGAGAGCCTTATTCGCCTTTTTGGGTTGCGTCTTGCCTTCCGATTTTTTTTTTTTAGCGCTAATCGCGGATGCGTTGGTCGAAACGCAATTTGCGGGCTCGATCAGTCCCCCACCCCCCCCCACCCGCCCGCCGGTCGGTCGGTCGGCTGGCCGGCCGGCCGGCCGCGACGCCAAGCGGCGTCTGCGTGTGTGCGTGCGCGGCGGTGGGGTTGGCTAGATGACCGGCTGGGTGTACCGCCTGTGTGACTGGTGTTTTGTGTTGTTTGTGGCCGTGGCGGTGGTTGCGGTGGCGACGACGGCGGTGGCATTAGGTGGTGGCAGCCATCCCGTCCGTCGGGGGCAAGGAAGGGGGCGGTGTCGGCGCGCTGCACAAGGGCAGCGTTTGCTATGAGCGCAACGGGGTGAGGATGCCGGCGCGATGATTTCGATGGTAACCACGACGACGGTAACCACGACGACGATTATGATGACGACGGTGATGAGTAGCAACGACGGAACATATCGCGCGGTCGACGGAGAGGAAAACCAGAGCGCACGCGCTCGGTCGACGTTAAAAAGTAGGCCCGTAAAGGAACGCTATCGTTAGCGTGCGCCTGCCGTATACTCCCCGTATTGAGAGTGCGCTTGCGAGGCATAATAGTAGTAGTAGTAGTCGCACGCTCGCTGGTTTGGTTGCAGTGTTCTCACGATTGTAAGGCTTTAAACCCCCCCCCAGACGTCGAGTCGCACACCAATGACTTAGCGCAGTTGGCAACGTGCGGTGCGAAACCAAGTTGTACGTACACATACATGCGCACCTTTCCGACTCATAAGGCGCTCCGCCAAGTGATATGCCCGCATTTTATAATATGCAAAATAGGGTTAACATTGAGCATGGAATTTGGTGTTCCGTTTTTGTAATCTCGCCGAATATCCTGAAGGTGATGCAGGAAGGAGTGCTCACAGCACTCGCGTTCATCGCAAACTAAAACTTTAAACTATTTTTGGGCAAGGCCCACTGGAGCTCTTTCGCTCTAGTTCAGGCGATCACAAATGTTAGCTCAACAAAGTGGCTTATCGTGTGGAAATGTATATCAGCCAAATACTCTAAATGCACGTTGTTTCTAAATGTGGAGGGAAAAACCGGAGGACCCGGAGAAAAGTCTACGCGACCACCACTGGGAGAGAGAGAGAGACACGCAAACTCCAGATATACAGCAGGCGTCAGGGTCGGGAGCGAACTCACGCCCTCCTTCATACCCGGCGAGGTAGTTAACATCTCGGTACCGCGACGCCTCGGCGAATTGTGACCGTGCCGAGGAGAGACGCGGGGCGGCGTTGTTGTTGCCGCCACTCGTCGTTGCTACGATGTCAACAAAAGCGAACGGCGTTGACGTCATCGGCGCACGAGCATGGCGAAAGCGTCGGCGACGATGAGAGCCTCCCATCGTCTTGCTTGGTCGCACGGCATCGACTAAAGCGTCACGAACCAGCGCAGCTGCCTTTTTTAGCACCCTCGGATAATTGAACGGCCTTTAAAGTTCCCCGCGCGTCCCCCCCTGCACGCGAATGCGTTTTTCCCGTCGGAACGGCCGCTCAAATTATCAACAACGGTGGCACCTCGCCGGCCGCTCCTGGGTTCGCTCTCTACCGTTCGCTTATCCCTCGCCCGCGAGCCAGTTCCCGGCAATTCCACGTTCCCTTTGAAAGGGAGGGGGGGCGGAGGGACCGTTTATTTCCCCGCGGGGAGTGGGTAATCGTTTTATCGAACCCAAACAATGGCGGGGTCCTGCGGACGCCCAAACCGGTAATTGAACTCGCGACCTTGCGGCGAATCGAGCGTTGTAACCACAGGTCCACCGTGCGTCCTTGGTTGCTGTTGGTGGACAAGGCAGGGTCCAACCACCCCAGCCAACCCGTGGGCATTCTATCCCCCGACAAATAATCGCTCTTCAAAGCTAAGCAGCTAACGGATGAAAGCTGTTAAACGCGTTAGCCGTGTCCCGTCTTGTCAGTTTGTAAGGAGAGAGGAGGTGGGGGGTGGGAGGGTCACGATAACTCTTGAAAAGTCGATCCAACGTCGACAGAATTCGAATGTAATGTTGTGTTGCTTGCCGAAGACTCGTTATACGAGAGACCCGGAAAGGAAATAATCGCAGGGTTACTGCTTGCCCAAAACTTTGCCAATTATGACGACGACGACGACGACAAAGTCTGGGCTCGCTCGGCCAAGGCGACGATGTCATGTGCGACGTCGCCCAGTTCGCGCGCCTCGAAACGTAACGTTACGATCGCCAGTTAAATACTTGCGCGGACAAACGCCTGTTGGAAAGAGTTGCGAAATCCACGATTTTTCTTACTTTGTTTACGTGCATATATGCACGTGATATACATTTGAAAAAAAGAATCTCGTGAACGTGCATTTGCGTGCGGGCTGGAGGGGATGTTGGGCGGGGGGGCGTGGAAGTGTTTGCCAAGGCTGCCTGCTGTGTGGAATCTCGGCGCGGGGCGCGCGCCAGTGCTGCTCGTCGCTTCAAAAACGTCGCGGTTCCCCTCCCCCCCCCCATCCCATTCCGCCCCCCGCCCGCCCTGCCACCTCGTCACGAGGGCAGGAGGTGTTCTACCTGAACTTCTCGTGCGACGACGTGGAGGACGCCATCGATATGGAAGTGGGAGACAAGGTCTCCTTCACCGTGGCCACGAACAAGCCGTAAGCACCGGGCACCCGACAAACACCGGCACACGCACACACACACCGACAAACACCGGCACACACGCACACCCAGTAAGCACTGGGCACCCAACATAGGCACACAAGCAAAGACAAAGTTACCCTGTATAGCCTTAACAGGCTGTAGGGGCAAGTGCTGTTCGCGAACACCTATGAAGGCCGGCATGGCGCACGAGGGGGTGTGTGGCCAACACCACGCCCGGCCGCTTTTGTCTCCCCAGTGGTGTTGTTTACACACCCCACACAGGTACTCATTCGAGGCCTAGTCGACCTAGGGGAGGCCCAGGACCGGTTCAGATAATCGTCACACTGGTGTTGGCCGTGAGTGGGAATCGGAACTCGGGTCGCCGGGTTCATAGCAAGCGCGGCACTAACCGCCACGTTACCGCAACCCCCACACACTGGAAAAGCACATTGTCCTCGCAATATTGTGGGGGAGGTTTTTATATTTTTAATGAAAAAAACATTAATATATTGTATTGTTATACTTCTTTTTACCCTGGAAAGTCTCACCTAGTCCCGTGACCTTTTCACAAGGGTCCTGCCAGGTTTTGGCAGTAGATGGGGGGGGGCGATAATTGCTGCGGTGTGTGTATGTGTGGGTACATTGAACTTCTTTCGCACCGTACGTAGCCAACCGTGGCCAATCGGAGGTGCAGGATATTATCGGTATCGTCTTCCCTGGATTAGAAAGACGCTCTCCTGAAAGTAAAATTGACGCCCAAAGTTACCCCAATCTGATTTTATACACACACACACACATACCTCCTAAGTTATATGATGCACCCCCAGCATTTGATTTACATATATGGAAATGTGCGGAGAATTCAGTTGTAAATCGATCGCTTTTTTAATAGAGCAGCCTACGGTGGTTTTTGACGAATGTTGTTTATTATCCAATATTAAACAAGCTCTTGCTGGACTGGTGCAACCATTTTTGACTGGTTAAGCCATTTTGGTCTCATTAACAACTTTCCAGTGTGCAACAGGTGCAAATCGGAAGTGTGGTGTGATCCCGGTTGAGCATTTGGTGGTGACATTTGTGTTGTTGGCTAATTTGGATACTTTCCGCAAAACGAGGATGTGCCTGTGTTATATGGGTTGTTTGTGGGGAGCGGTGGTGTAGCGGTTAGCGCGCTGCGCTTTGAACCCGGCGATCCGGGTTCGATTCGCCTTGACGGCCAACACCATTGACGATTATCTGATCCGGTCCTGGGGCCCTCCCCTAGGTTTGACTCGGCCTCAAATGAGTCCCCGGTGCGGTGCGTAAACATCGCCACTAGGGAGACAAAAGCTCCCGGGCGTGGTGTTGGCCACCCACACCCTCGTGTGCCGTTCCGGCTTTTATAGATGCTCACGAACAGCACATGCCCCTACAGTCTGTTATGGCTATTACGGGGGGGTCTTTGGCTTTATCTCGTCACGTGACAGATCACATCGTATAGCGTCCCGTGGTTTGAACTTTCTCTCACGTGCGAATCGTTTCGATCGTAAATGAACTTGCACTGGAATCGATTTTCGATTAAATTAAAATGAAACTATTTTTATGTTGCCAGGTAAGGCCCACTGAGCTATATAGCCCTTTTTTCAGAAGCGATCTGGCTTTCACAAATGAGCGCTCAAAGAAGTGGCTTATTTTGGAGATTTATAGCAGCCAAATCTAAACGCACGTTGATTCTAAACGTGTATGGAAAAACCGGAGGACCCAGAGCAAAATACACGCGACCACAGGGGAGAAATATACAACAGGCGTCAGGGTCGAGATCGAACCCACGCCCTGCATATCAGGCGAGGTAGTTAACATCTCACCACTGCAAGACCCGGAGAAAAATCCACGCGACCACGGGGGAGAACAAAGCAAACTCCAAATAGGCAACAGGCGTCAGGGTTGGGATTTGAACCCACTATCTCCTGTATACCCGGCGAAGTCATTAACATCTCACCATCGTGAGATGTTAACCGGCCGTTGATTCCACAAACAAAGCAATTGCCGTCGCCTGCTAACTTCGGTGACTGTGACCAGGCAACTAATCTGAGCTCCGTGCGTTCTCCCCCGTTTGCTCCCCACGTTTTCACCCCCCCCCCCCCCCCCGTCTCTTCGCCCCCCACACACACACACGCACACCTCGTCGTTACCACCACGACCACCTCGGGACCACAACGGCGTGCGCCTCTCTAACCGTCGCGTCCATCCCCGGAGCGTGGGGAGCAGCGGGTTCATGAGCGCCAGCGGCGTGAAGCTCATGGAGCGCAAGCGCCCCGACCGCTTCCAGGGCGTCGTGTGCGCCATGAAGGTAACGTCCCGACGCTGGCGACGCTGGCGACGCCCCCGGATGGCGCCGCCTGCTGGTGCCGCCGCCGTTTCCGTCTCGCGGGGGCGGCAGCGGCTGAGCGACTCCCACCGCGGTGGTGTGGGGAGTGGGTGGGGGGGGGGTGCGTGAAGGGGACAAGTCCAGCAGGTGGGGCTGATTTGTTCCTGCGCGTGATGATGGAAGCAAGCAGCAGCAGCAGCAGCACTGTCTTGTGGTTCAGGGTGTCGATGCCAGTGTGCTGGTCCTACTGCTACTGCCACGATGAGAGGGGGCTGTGCCGCTGGGTAAAAGTGCAGCTCCTTTTTTTTTTTTTACAAATACAATGATTCGAATTTTGGGGGGGGGGGGTTCTGCCACGCGGTCATTTTATGCCAAAGTTAATACTTTTTGCCATTTTACGCAATGAAATATAACAGATGCGGCCCGGGGCGTGCTACTGACGCCCAACCGCCCCCTGGCCCTGCTTGGCCCTGAGCCAGATTTGGACGTTTGGAGGACAGCGGCAGCGTGTCACGGTTTGGTTCTGGCTCGACTCTGCATGGAGCCAGCGGAAAAAGCCACCCCCGCCCGCGCTGGCTTGGCTCGCATGTGCCGGTGGAAATAGGTGGGGGGTTGGGGCGGCGGTTTTGGGGGGGCGGGGGGGGCGGGCGGTCGTGGCGTCGTGAGTGCGCGCACGAGATGCTTGTCGCTGGACCTCGCACGCACGGGCCCCTTGCCGCTTTCTCCGCGTCGCTCAGGAGACGTTTGGATTCATCGAGCGAGGGGACCAGGTGAAGGAGATCTTCTTCCACTACAGCGAGTACAAGGGCAACCTTGAGACCCTGCAGCCTGGGGACGACGTTGAGTTCAGCATCCAGGATCGCAACGTGAGTGGCCCGCCGTGCTGGGGCGGGTGGGGCGGGGAGAGCGGGCGGGGAGAGCCACGATGAGTGAGTGTGGGTAGGAGACGGTAGATTAATGAGTGAGCGATTTAGAGGGGGTGCGGTTGAGTGGGTGGATGTGAGAGCGAATGTTTCAGAGATAGGAGGAGAGGGGGGGGGGTGGGTAAGTGAGTGGGGGAAGAGGGTGCGTGATTTTGTGTCCTATGATTATCACAGTTGGCTACGTACAGTGCGAAATAAATTCTACGTACATACATTGAGTGGGAGAAAGGGTGGGAGAGACAGGGTGGATGAGTGGCTGAGTGGGTGAATCGGAGGGGAGAGGTGGGTTTAAGTGGTTCGGAGACTTGAGTGGGTAGGTGAATAAGTGGGTACTTTAGCTTGAGTAGTTGTTGGAGAGTGGTTGACTGAATGAGTGAGTGTGAATGTGAGTGAGCGTGTGGATGATTGAATGAGTGAGTGGCAAGGTGAGCACGATAGTTCAGCCGTCTAAACCGTAATGCCCATCGCAACCGTTATCAATCCACTACTGAACGGAAGCTGCCTTCCCTTCCAGCAACTTGGAATGTCTCGTGGCAATGTCCCAGTTCATCACCCCCCCCCCCCCACGGCCCCTTCATCCAAACCAATCACCGCACCAGGCAGCCCCGGTGACCACAGCCGGGACGATACCGAAACCCCCCTGCGCTCGCAAAACCGAGCCGGCACCACCGTCGAGGCGGTCACACGTGTACCGCTTGAGACGGCGCGGGTTCCGCCTTTGTCTTTCGTCCCGGCAGAACAAGGAGGTGGCGACGGACATCCGACTGCTGCCGGAGGGCACGGTGATCTTCGAGGACATCAGCATCGAGCGCTTCAAGGGCGAGGTGCTGTGCGTGCTGCCCAAGGCTCCCAGCAAGAACCTGGTGCGTTCCCCCGCAGGGGTCATGCTGCTGCTGTTGCCTCTCTTGTTTGGCTTTGCGCGTGCGTGCGTGCGTGTGAACTTCTTTCGCACCGTACGTAGCCAACCGCCACTAAGCAGAGGTTGTGGGGGAATGGCAGCAAACTACGGATCTCCGTGCGAGTCTATGGGTCTGTGCGTGAGTCTGTGGGTCTGTGTGTGCGAGTCTATGGGTCTTTGTGTGTGAGTCTATGGGTCTCTGTGTGAGTCTATGTATGTGTGTGTGTATGTTTAACTTATTTCGCACCAGACGTAGGCAACCATGCTAATAAGAGGTTGCGTGTGAAACACAATAAACTCAACACAAGAACAATAGGCAATGACCCGTTGACATTTCCGTTTCTCCTGCAAATCAACAACACGAACTCCTAACTAAGCCACCACTTTTAATAACAACCCCACTCTTTATCTCAACCTCTATCATCTTATGTACAATTTTATTATTCTTGTAAATCTCCTTGGATTAAAGCGCTGCTATATAAATCTACAGAAGGTGAGAGCGAGGGAGAGAGACACGCAAACTCCCAAATATACAACAGGCGTCAGGGTCACGATCGAACCCACGGACCTCCTGCGTGCCAGGCGAGGTAGTCAACATCTCGCCCACCATGCGGTGCCGCACGCAGTCTGACCCCCTGCCGGGCCGGATCCACATGGAGTTCCCGACGGCGCGGGACCTCCCGTACGGCGAGAAGGACACGCGCAGCAAGGTGACGCTGCTGCCGGGGGACCAGGTGGAGTTCAGCATCTCGACGGACCGGCGCGACGGGCTGGAGCGAGCCACCACCATCACCCTGCTGTCCGAGACGTTCACCGCCTCCGACGAGAAGAGAGAAGTGGTGAGCGTTTTTTTTTGCGTGCGGCGAATCCCCCCCGCCCCTCCCCCACGGACGTTTGATTTTGCCGCTCAAAACCGAAGAGTGGAGAGCGTTTGAACCGGTCCGGGGCCTTTCCCTTAGGTCGACTTGGCCTTTAAACAAAAAAAGTACGGGAACTCCTATACTTACGAACGATTTAGGTTCCAGAGGTCTGTTCGCAAGTCGATTTGTTCACAAGTCCAAACTTTACTCCTGTTGATTCCAAACGCGTTGTACGGCGTGTACGCTCAACACGGGGTAAGGCTTTAAAAGTTGTATAATCTCCTGTAGATGTAGATGCCACTGGTTCTTCCCATTCTGCAGATGTCGATTCCATCTACATCTGCAGAACATGAAGAAGCATTGGCATCTGCATCTGCAGAACCAGTGGCATCTACCTCTGGTTCTTCACATGAAGAACCAGTGGCATCTACCACTGGTTCTTCACATGAAGAACCAGTGGCATCTACCACTGGTTCTTCACATGAAGAACCAGTGGCATCTACCGCCATCTATTGCACGGTGGGCGAATTTACGACTCTCGGTCCGAACGGGCGACTGACATACAGGACAGGCTTGTTCGTATGGAATGTTCGTAAGTAGAGGAGTCCCCCCCCCCCCCCCCCCCCCCCCTGTGCTTGGTGCGGTGTACGCAAATAATCGGCGCTGGGGGAGACGAGGGCGTTGTGTTGGTGGCCACCCCCCCACCCCACTTCGTGCTCGCTTCCGCCACTTGGCCCGACGGTTTGTTGGGATCTGTTTCTTTGTGCGGGCGTGGTGTTGGCCGCACACCCACCGCTTGCAAGCTTGGGAGAGACGCTCCCGGCACGACCGCAAAATCTGCGCGACGCGGTGGCCTTTGCTCGGCGCTCGCTCGCTCGCGGCGCGGGGACGGTTAAGACCGAGCGTCGTTTTCTCGTTGTCGGTGTCGTCGTCGTCGTCGTCGTCGTCGGTGGCGCACCGCAGGGCGTGGTGGCGGCCCTCCGCGACGGCTTCGGCTTCATCAAGTGCGTGGAGCGGGAGCAGCGCATGTTCTTCCACTACAGCGAGGTGATGGACGACCCGCAAGCCCTGCGCATCTCCGACGAGGTCGAGTTCACCGTCATCCCGGTACGCACGAGCGAGCGGGCGGGCGGGCAGGTGAGTGGGCTGACGAGTGTGCGCGGGGCGGGCGAGCGAGCGAGCGAGAGGGCGGGCGGGCGGGGCGAGCGAGCGGGCGGGCGGATGAGCGAAGTCGGTAAGTAGGCAGGCAGGAAGGAAGGCGAGTGGTGTGAGCGTTTGTGAGTGTGTGCGAGTTTGTTGGTAAGTGAAGCTGGCTGGCAAACGGGCGAGCGGGTGAGTGAGCGGGGAGTTGAGCGCGAGTTGGTTAAAGAGCGTGCGGGTGGATGAGCTGGTTGGCGGGCGAGCTAGCGGACGGAGGAGTGAGTTGGTGAGCGAGAAGGGGCGGGGGGGTGGGGGCAGTATTTGCTTGGATTGGCTCTCGAATACCGGACTTGTTAGGATTCGTCAACGCGTGGAATCCTTTGTGTTAGAAATCAATGATTCCCTTCCTTGCAGTTGGTCGAATTGTCACAACTTAAAGGGGGTCCGCGATCCGATGGAAACATCAAATTCTTAGATTGGTCAGTGGAGTCAGAATCTTTATCCGAATCAGAATATCTACCCGATGAGCCGTATCAAAGCTCTTTTTCACAGATGTCCAGCCGGGGGGCACAGGGTCAGAAAGTTGCAGTAACAAACAATACAAAAAACACGTAGGAGGAGGCTCTGCCAATATTATCCAATATAGAGGGGTTTTTTTTTTGGGGTTAGGTAGCGTAAGTGTGTCGTTAGACCCGCCACCACCCGACGCAGCCAATTAGTGAGGTTTGTCACGTGATCTGGCTATCGCCCGATGATGCTGATTGTAATTACTGGCGAAACGTCGCGCTAGAATTGTAAATTTTGTGGGCTTGCTCTCCCAACACACAACCCGGTGCGCTGAGCTAGTGACGAATTGACACGTTTTGTTTACGTGGCAAACCTGACTAATTAGGCTGTGTCGTGTGGAGGTGGCCGGTTCAGCGACACGTTGGCATTTACGCCACCTAACCCAATATACCTCTCATGAATACAACAAACACGACAGGAATAGGAATCCAAAGTTAGAGGGAAGGTAAATGAGGGAGAGGGGGGGGGGTGGGAGGTTGTTTGTGATGTCCAGTAAGGGGGCGGGCGGGGGGGGGGGTGGGCGGTCAGCAATGGGCAGCGGTGACACGTACGACGTTGACGAACTGAACAAAACCCCTGCCGTTGGATTGCTACACAATGAGCGGTCGATTGTGCTTTGGCCGGTGGGAGCGTGTGGCGCGATTGTCGGGACCGCGCGTTTAACTCCCCCGCGCGTTTGACTCCCCCCCCCCCCAGCCCAGCACGTTTGACCCCCACTCCGTGCGTTTGACCCCCCGCGATTTTGACCCCTTTGCCCCCCTTCGCCCCCTTCGTCCCCTTCGCCGCCGCCGCCCAGGACGCGATGCTGCCGCAACGGAACCACGCGGTGCGGATCCGGCGCCTGCCCAAGGGCTCGGTGTCGTTCAGCACCCGCCTGGACGAGCGCTACGTGGGCGTTGTGGAGCGCGAGGCCATCGGAGCCGCCCCCAGCCCCTCTAAGGCCAAGGAGAAGGTGAGATTCCCCCAAGCCCCCCCCCCCCCCCGCCCCCATCCAATGTCGTAGTCTTATTGCTTATCAGGACCGGTACCACCGACCAGCCACTCTTGTTCGTTGCCACCGCCACCGCAAGTGCTGTCAACCGCTACCGTCGTCACCGTCTGTGCCGTCGTCGCAAACAGTCGTAACCAACGGTCGCCAGCACCATAAAAACCACGACCCCCCCCCCCACCCAATCACCGGCAGTGCTGCATCATCGCAACCGCTCGGGTTGTTCCTTTCCGCGCGCGTTCGTTCACCGCGGTTCCGCTTGTTGTTCCCCAATTGTCGTCATCGTCGTTGGCTATTATCACCCTCCTCTGTGTTTTCATCCACCGCTGCTGCCTGCGTCAGTGGAGTGACTTTTTATTTTTCTTTTCTTCTCCTCTGCCACGCGGCGCACGCACGCGCTTGTTTCACCGCAGAAGAGGGAGCGGGTACGTCCGTGTTGGGCTGCACTCGCATGGTCCCCCCCCCGCCCCGCTAACCCCATCCCCACCGCGGTTGTTCCATCCTTGACTTGCGTTTCCCTCTGAACACGCAGAGCTCGCCCCTAAGCACGCTTTTTCGGTTGCGCGCGTCATGTGTGCATCTAATTTTGCGTCAACCTGAGGACCCACGTGTTTAAAAGCCAGCGTGTGCCCTTGCCAAGGGTAGAATATCTGGCAGCACGCGAGCGCTGGTTCCTGACCCTGCTGCTGACGAGACGGCGGACGTCGAACACGGGGGACCCCGCCCCGCGGGCTTGATTCCATTTCGAATCGATGCTTCGCTTTTGACGTTGCGTGCGCTCGCAGAAGGCCGTCCTGCTGACGGGTCGTGTCAGAACTTATACCTCTCACGCGGGCAGACAGATACGCGGAGGAGGAGACGTATCGTCAGCTCCTGTGTACTTGGCGTGTGTCCGTGCCTGTGCTGCCGTGTGCAGCGCCTACACGACCGCGTGTTGATGTTGGCCACGATGTCCGACGTTTTTCCCCCACGTACACCGGTAGCTTCTTGGGGAACTGAATTAGGGGCTATTCAGTTCCTGAAGAAGCTTACCGGTGCTTGCAGCGAAACGTCGGACGTCGTGCCAAATACACATCGGAAAGCCGTACAGCACAACCGCGAAAACCCACGCTGGTCGTTTTAGCTCGTATTACGATTATAACGTAACGGTGCATGTTGAACTGTCACCGCAACGTTAGCCAGCCGTGCCAATCGGACTCGTGGGGGGTAGGGACAGCAGACTATAAACGCAACATCGAGCAGTTTTTAAGAAATAAGTTTGTCGATCTAGACGAATTAGAAGTGAGAATGGCTCCCGTGGCTTCCTTAATATCAAAAGGAAGAGCTTTTCCAGACGGCCACAGAAGCGCTTGCTTGTTATAATAATAACAAGGATGTAGTTTGTTTACCCAGGGGAAGCTCGCCCTGGGTCTCCTGACCCTTTTTTTTCAGGATGGGGGCCCTGCTCCATTGGGATGTTTTGGCCCAGCAACCTCCGTTAACTCGGCGACCATTCATCCACCGCTATACCCGTAGTAGAGAGAGAGAGAGGGGTGGGGGTGCTTTGACAAATGAATGACCTGTAACAAGACATTTTGACTGCTTGGAATTGACGAGTGCTTTGCCCCAATTAGCGGCTGCCTGCCCTGTGCTTTCGCTCAGCCTGGTGCGCTGTGTAAAGTGTGCTCGCATGAAATCACACACACGCGTGTGTGCACGCTTGTGTGTGTGTGTGTTTATCACTGCAACTTCTCATAACTTTACTGTGTTTCTATTATTTACGTTTTAATTGTTAAAAATTCAGTTTCACGGTCTTCCCAAAGTCCATCTCAAAAAATATTTATTCTTTAAAACGTGGCCAATAATTCCACGCTGTGACCAATCGGCTGTGGTGGAACTGCGGTGGCCTGTGGTCTCCATGAGCTGTGTCACACCACAGGCAATTGACAGCCACACCGAACCGAATCGCTTCGTAAAACTTCACGCCCCCCCCACTGGGTATCGTTAGCAGAACAACAGCTGTGAACCGCCGGGCTAAACGACAGAATGCTCGGAACATTTTAAAGTGGAGGTAAATCGATAGAGGGTACGGGGCCCGGTGGTTCGTTTATTCTCATCGCTCCCGATTGGAAGGGTCTCCCCGCCGGGGCGGTGTTTGCCAAACTCTTCTTTGGCCTGCCGCCGGCACCTCTCGACCGATGCGAACATTTCCGCGGACCCCCACGCAGACCCCCCAACCCACCCCGCGTGACAAAACTCATTCACTTCTCGCTCTAAATACCAGAAATACAAAGTTATTCATATTACCGGAACAGAAACACTTCGTTTTTTAACACAGCTACGTGTTTTTTGTTTAGGAGGGGCATTTAGACCTTAGGGTTAGGGGGAACCAACACGTCGGTGGAGGGGGGGGGGGGCCTGTTTGTGAAATTGCGCGAGGGTGAATTCGGGATTTGAGTTTCCCAAAGAAGCTTCCGGCACATGGAGACCAGAACTTGGGGGGACATCGTGCCGAACAGCGCCGCGGTTACGACCCAAACTCGCATCGGAGCAGAGAGTAAGAGAGAGCGAGAGAAAGGGAGAGTGACCGAAAGGGAAAGAGAGAGGGAGAGAGCGCAAAGCCGCACGGCAGAGCGGCTGTAACGACGTCCGTCGTAACAGCACCAGCAGTGGCGGGGGAGGTGGGGGTGGGGGGGGGGGCGGCCTAGATTTGACCTGACTCTTGCGAGGCCTCCCCCCACCTGCACAGGACCAGGAGCCGGGGATCATCGCTTACGAGGAGGAGGAGGGCGAGAAGATGACCATCTCGTACCTGTGCAAAGACGTGGAGGGACGCGGAGCGCCCAAAGTCGGCGACAAGGTACGGCTTTGCGTCGCGATTCGCGACGGGTGAACGTGCCTTGGCGTGGCTCGGTGTGCCTGCCCGGTTGCGCTCGTGAATGGGCTTTGGCTTCGGCGTGGGAGGAAACCACCGCGTCACGAGACAGCCCCCGGCACCCCCCCCCCACCCCCACCTCCTCCAAAGGCAAGGCCGCTCTGGCCGATGAGACTAATCCTGGTGTCTTGAGTTGTCTCCTGGTGAAGCGAACGAACACGACGTTTGCCTTGGGAGGAACAATCAAACCGGCCACGGTTGCACCCACGGTGCGGAGCCCGCGTCCCCGAGGACCTAGCCACGGCTGGCTACGTACAGTGCGAAAGAAGTTAAAAGCGCACGTACCCACCGAGGTGGAGTGATGAAATCGACGCGGGCGCCAGGCTGGATTGTTCCGTCGTAGGATCTAAAAACTAAACTAAACTAAACGATATTTTAAAATGATAATAGGTTTTTTTTACCCTTTTATTTGGCAACAAAACTGACACCTTTTGACAAGGAGTCATGTTTGCATTGACCACAATACCTGCGCTCAAAATGCAAACAAAAAAAACAGCACTGATAATGTATGCATTGTCCTTGAAATTGATTGGTCCACACCAGAGACAGCTTTTCTTAGAGCCCAGTCTCACATTGGTGTCCGACCAGATAACGCCAAAAGGCGCACAACTCAAAGACAATGCACCATCAGAGTATTGAGAACTCGGGGTAAGCATTTACATCATGAGACCTCCTTTGCCAGTAGCAAAATATGATAGTAGGTTTTTACCCTTTTATCTGGCAACAGAACTGACAGGTGAGGCCCACTGAGCTATATAGCTCTTGAGAAGCGCCCTGGCCATAAATGATAGCTCAACGAAGTGGCTTATCACGTGGAAATTTTTAGCGGCCAAATACTCTAAAGGTTTACGTAGACAAATCCACGCGACCCACGGGGAGAGCGCGCAAACTCCAAATATACAGCAGGCGTCGGGATCGGGAACCCACGACCTCCTGTATACCTGGCGAAGTAGTTAACATCTCCTGGCCATCGTGGGACGCTACGGTGGTATCGCTGAACCCAGCAGGAAATCGACTTAGGTCGATCATGACGACGACGATGTGATGATACTAAACCTTTGCGCGTCCCTCGCCCCGCTACCCCCCCCCCCCTCCCCGCCTCTCTCGCCTCCCACCAGGTGGAGTTCAGCATTGCGGAGGTGAAGAGAAGCGGGCAGCGAAGCGCCGCCTGCGTCCGGGTGCTGAGCCGCCTCGCCAGTGGCGGCTCGGGCAACAGCAGCGGCGGCGGCGGCGGCGGCACCGTCTCCGGCGGCGGCGGCGGCGGCGGCGGCGGCAAGCGGCAGGTGGGCTTCATCGCCACGCTCAAGGACAACTTCGGCTTCATCGAGAACATTCAGCACAACGCCGAGATCTTCTTCCACTACAGGTGAACGGGGGCCACGGGGCCGGGGAGGGGGCGGGGGCGGGGGAGACGGGGCCACGGGGTCACGGGGTCACGGGGGCACGGGCCACTGGGGGTGGGTGCCCGAGTGAGCGAGCGAGACACGAGTGGCGGTGTAACACCAGTGGGGTTGATCTTTGGTTTTTTCGGTAAAGTCACGTGTAGAAATAAGAAAAAATACAATTACATAATATACGACGTTTCGATTGCAACACAAGCAATCGTCATCGGGTAGAGGAAACACATAACCGCAGGTATATATATACAGACCTTAAGTAGAGGGAATTAACACAGATATACCAGGGGATACAGAGAGACGGAGCATCACACTAAATCAAACAGGGTTCAGCAAAATTTTGGAAACTGTGTAAAGCAACACAGACGGTCGGTTAAAACACAATTAACACATGGTCCGGTTGAATACACTATTTCAAAGATTGTTAAATTGTAAGTTGAGTGTGAAATTTAAGATAGTGATAGAATGCATACCGTAGAGAGACCTATGGGGGGAGACACGCACACAGTTAAGAGGTAATGCAGCTTTGTACCGAGGCCTTAAATAGCCAGAGATGGAGGGACTGGGTCTCAGAGACAGTGGGACACAAATTGGCATGACACAAGTTGTCAGGCGCACAGAGAGGGCGCCGCAGCGGCGCACACTTAGAGACACCCAGGCACACAACTATAGGCAGAGACAGCACAGCGACGTAAACCCAATTCAAGACACAAAGGCAGACACACCAGCAGAGAACACAGAGACACAGATTTCATACCTCCCCGAATCGAGCTTGAAGCAGTGGGGTTCTTTGTGCAGCGATCGGTGGCCGGGCGGAGACCATCGACTCGCTGCACTTGAGAGGCCGGTTTAATCACTGCTCGGGCTAAAATTAGTCTACTGTCTGAATTACGACAACAGGGTTCCCAGGGACGCATTGTAACGTCGTGAGAGTGGGGGGGGGGGGGGGGCGGGGGGGACCGCCTGCGTATATGTGCGCGCGTGTGTGTGTGCACGCGTGGGGAGCGGTAGTGTAATCGTTAGCGCACTGCGTGACGAACCTGGCCACCCGAGTTTGAATCCGGCTCAAAGCCAACATCGGTGAAGATGATCTGAACCGGTCATGTGCCTCTCGCCTACGTCGGCTCGTCCTTAAACGAGTGCCTGGTGCGGTGTGTGTAAAACATCATCACTGGAGAGACAAAGGTGGCCGTGCGTGTTTTGCCGACCACACCATCCCCTGTTGTGTACCGTGTTGGCCTTGATAGCTGCAGCTCTGTCTGCTAACAGCACTCGCCCCAACATTCCGTTGGGCCTGTACGGTGGAATCTTGTGTCCGTGTGCGTACGCAGCGAGTACAACGGCGACGTGGACTTGCTGGAGGTGGGCGACGCCGTCGAGTACTCGCTGTCCAAGACCAAGGCGAACAAGACGAGCGCTGACAAGGTGTCCAAGATCACCAGCGGTGAGAAGTTACGGCCGGGGCGGCACGGCGTGGCATGGCCTGGTTGGACGTGGCCTGGCACAGCGTGGCGTGACACAGCCCGGCGTAGCGTTGCTCAGCATAGCTCGGCGAGAGACGGTGCGGCCGGGCACGGCCTGGTGTGGCCGGGCACGGCCTGGCATGGCTCAGCGTGACACTGTGTGGCTCAGCGTGGCTCAGCGTGGCACGGCGTGGCCTGGCACAGCATGGCACAGTGTGACGCACCTTAAAACAACATGGCTCAGCGTGATACGGTGTGGTCTGGCATGGCCTGGTATGGCCTGGCACAGCATGCAAAAGTATGACTCAGCATGGCATAGCGTGGCTCAGCATGACATGACCGTGGCCTGGCACGGAGTGGCACGGTGTTCGACTGCATGGCCCGGCTGTAGTGGACGTGCCATTGTCCACTCGTGAAGTTGGGCGGTTGGGGAGCGTTCTTTTTTAATGATGGTTTATATGTATATATTTTTTATGATGATTTATATGTATGTATCTTCATATGTATGCTGAACTTCTTTCGCGCACCATACGTAGCCAGCCGTGCTAATCGGAGGTGCGGGGGGAGGACAACAGTTCTAAAGAAATGAGTTTATCAATCTAAATGATGATGATGATGATTTGAAAGTGCATAGCTGCCCAGTGGCTTCCTAATATCGGAAGGGAAGAGCGTTCCAGACGGCCGCGGAAGCGCACCTGTAAGCGCCGCGCGACGCCGTGAAGACCCGCCTTTGTTCGATGGCTTTACCGAAAGCTTGCCGTCTGAAAATTACGCGGGTTCGTGAAAAAGACGCGTGTCCGGGATGTCCTTGGCCCCCCCGCCCCCCTCCCCCGCGCAGGAAACGTGCCCAAGGACGACGTGCAGCCGACGATTTACCTGGGCAAGGTGGCCCGGCCGCTCCGCAGCGTCGATCCCCAGCAGGCCGAATACCAGGGGCTGGTGGAGGTCACCGAGGACTGTGCGTACCTTTGACCCCCCCCCCTCCCTCGCTGAACCTGCCGACCTTCCGCGATCGCGCGAACCTTGACGGCCATCGTGATTTGTTTTTTTTTTTAGAGTCTCCTTTTAAGCGAGCGATTCTGGGGAAATTGCTTTTCACAAAGCTGGACTATTTTTTTTATTTCGCCAGGTGTTGTAAGGTCCTCCCACTGAAGCTGCGTAGCTCTTTGTCAGAAGCGACATATGATCGCCCAACGAAGTGGCTCATCACGTGGAAATGTATAAGCAGCCATATACTCTGTAAACGCGTGACGTCGATTCTCAATGCTGGATGTAAAAACCGGAGGAACCGGGGAATAATCCTCGCGACCACAGGGAAAACATGCAAACTTCAAATATACAGGGGTCAGGGTTGTGATTGAACCCACGACCTCCTGTATACCAGGCGAGGTAGTTAACATCTTGCCACCGTGGCGCCCCTTTTCATGTGATAAGCGACTTCCTGGCAGGCCAGATGCCAAGTCTCACCTTGTGCCCCGCACAGGGAGAGCTGCCACTGGGGGGGGGGGTGTTCTAGGCTAGAACACGTAACGGTAATCATCGCCTCCTTACTGACAGACTCATGCCCGCTCGCTGGCCAGGTGCCCTGTCAACCTTTTGCCGCACAGGGAGGGCTTCACTGTGGGGGTGTTCTTCTAGACCAGGGGTGGGGAACGTCAGGCCCGCGGGCCGTATGAGGCCCGCGGAACCGTTTGGTGTGGCCCTGCCAAGGCAACCGCAGGGCGGGACTCGAAATTCAATAAATCTAGGAGCAAACCTGGAAAAGCAGTTGCGAGTAGCAACATCATCATCAATACCAGCTAACATCATCACACGCCTCGCCAAAGAGAAGCAGTTCCAGCCATCGCATTACGGGCGAGTTAATGAAATGTTTGACCAAATATAACAGGCTCATTTTTTAAGTTGATGATTTTGTTTTGGCCCGCGAATGATGCCATCAATATCCAAATGGCCCTTGGCAGAAACAAGGTTCCCCGCCCCTGTTCTAGACAAATCAAATCGGGTGCGCGGGTGGGGGGGGGGGGGATGACATCGCTCACCCTGTTGTGTTGCCGCCCGTGCGAGCGATCGATTGACTCGTGTATTTGTGGCAGGTGCCCTGAAGGGCGACACTTTCCCGTACGGCGTGGTGGGGCTGGCCAGTCGCTGCGAGTACCTGCAGAAGGGCGAAAACGTCAAATTCCAGCTGTGCACAGTCACGGCCACCGGGGGGCTCATGGCCTGCAACATCACGCCCATGCGCAAGCTGGAGAGGGCCTTCATCGACTCGGTCAAGAGCGAGGTGGGGCTCCGTTATCCTTCGCGTTATTGCATGGAGTGCGGGGGTGGGGGGAGGTGGTTCGTGGTTCCAGCTCGGCGTCCGCCCCGGTTAATACTGCGGGCGTGGCGTTAATTAACTCCTGCTTCCCAACTATGTTTTTATTTTACCAGGTAAGGCCCCCCCCCCCCCCGCCCCGCTGAGCTCCGTAGCTCTTAATTTTTACAGAACGCTGACCCACCTGGGCCGCGAATTATGGCTCAACGGGGAAAGCGGCATCGTCATCACGTGGACATTTGTAGGCGGCCAAATACGATTGGTAAATTGCTGCCGATTTTTTCGACACCCATAACACACGCTTTGGGGGGGGCTAGGCAGCAAAACCACGACGACAGCAGTCCCAGTACCGCGCCACGTTCTAGCTTGTGTACGCGTGCAAAGGCGGCACTAGTTGGGATAAGGGGCCGTCCATAAATGACGTCACGCACCTGGGGGTGAGGGGGGTGGGGGGTCAGACATTTGTGTACGAGGGGGGGGGGGGTTTGAGAAATGTGACGTCACATCAAAATAAGCGACTTTAAATTAATATAGGCAACACGTTCTACTTAATTGAATAGACTTTTTAATAAATGTTTTCTCCGACAACATCAGAGTGCAGCGCCACATTAAATACGCACTACAATGACAATAGTTTAAAGCGATTTGAAGCGTGTTTTATTTTTTTGGGGGGGGGGCGGTAGAGCTTTGTGACGTCATATTTGATGGTGGGGGGGTCTGACTTTTTGTGACGCCGCGTGACTAGTGGGGGGAGGGGTCCAAAATCGTCCAAAATCGTTGTTGTGAAGGCCAAGTGCATTGGCCTTCACAACAAGGTCCCGTGCCCGCCGCCAGCCAAAACCCCACTCCCCTCGCTTCCCTCTCCCGGGAGCACCCCCCCCCCCCTCTCCAATCCCCACCCATGCCTTCTAACCAATCCCTCTGCTCCCCTTCTAACAGTCCCCAACAGATCTCCACACACCACCCCCACCACCACCCCCCACCCCCCCCCTTTGCCTCCTTTCAAATATTCTCGCCTCTTTCAAACCTTCCGACCAATCGCCATCTATACCGAGCCACATCCGAGTAGCGTCCCCCCTCGTGGCGCGGTTATGGTGGTTATGATGATATCCGTGTCGTTACAAGACGCTGCCCAAGGATGTCTAACAACACCCTTACACTGGTGGTCTACTTCGTTGTTAGCGACTTTGTTTTTTGGTCTGGTTTGTCGGTGTAACCCGCCGACTCCGTTACCCCGACCGAACACACAGCCCCATCGACGACTCCTCCTCCTGCGGGATAAATCGGGTGAAGACGACGATTCCGATTCTTGTCGTTGTGCATTTTTTTTCTTTTCTTTCCTCCGTTTCCGGCGCGCGCTCAGTTCGGCTTCATCGCGTACGAGGTTGGCGACAGCAAGAAGCTCTTCTTCCACGTGAGCGAGGTGCTGGACGGCCTCGAGCTGATGCCCAACGACGAGGTGGAGTTCCACGTGGTCTTCAACCCGCGCACCAGCAAGAGCAGTGCCTGCAACGTGCGCCGGATCGGGTACGCCGACACACTTGCGCGCGCCCCTCGACCGCGAAGCTTTTTGCACTCCGTTGCCGTGACAGAATCACCGCCGTGATGACGAGTCTGCTTCTCATTCGTCCTTTGGCACGTGTATGGTGCCAAAGAGGGTCAACATTCATACATGCATAGACTCGCACGGAGACCCATAGACTCGCACAGAGACCCATAGACTCGCACGGAGACCCATAGACTCGCACGGAGACCCATAGACTCGCACGGAGACCCATAGACTCGCACGGAGACCCATAGACTCGCACGGAGACCCATAGACTCGCACGGAGGCCCATAGACTCGCACGGAGGCCCATAGACTCGCACGGAGACCCATAGACTCGCACAGAGATCCACAGACTCGCACAGAGACCCACAGACTCGCACAGAGACCCACAGACTCACACAGAGACCCACAGACTCACACAGAGACCCACAGACTCACACAGAGACCCACAGACTCACACAGAGACCCACAGACTCACACAGAGACCCACAGACTCACACAGAGACCCAGAGTTTGTTGTCCTTCCTCCGCACCTCTGATCAGCACGGTTATCTTAGCTACGTACGGCTGATGTGGACTTAGAGCAACAGCTATGATTTTACTCGCTGTAGTGGTTGAGCCAGATGATTGCGTCAGGAGTATCAGAGTGTTGTGACGCCCCCCCCCCCCCCCCCTCCGTGTTTGTGAATCGCTGACCGAGTCGACGTCATGACGTGTCCACGGCTCTGTTCTGGGTGGTGATCACATTCGCCACACACCGTGCGGATAGTTTGTCAATTTCCCGTTTGTGCATCATCATTTTAATTGTCCAGTTTAATCGCATCTGAGAAGAGAGCAAGCAAGTGAGAGACGCCAGACCCCAGGGATTTGAAAGTGCACCCTCTGGTTGACTCGCCTAACCCCTCTGCCACCTGCCCCCCCCCCCTCGCCTACCTTCCTGCCCCCTCCTCTGCCACCTTCCTGTCCCCCCTCTGCCACCTTCCTGCCCCTCTGCCACCTTCCTGCCCCTCTGCCACCTTCCTGCCACCTTCCTGCCACTTCCGTGTCCCTCTGCCAACTTCCTGGCCGCCCCTGCCCTGCCCCGCCCCCCCCCCCCCCCCCTTGCCGCCCCCCACACGCAGCGAGGCGTCGAAGATGACTCCGTCCCCGCGGCCCGAGCGTCTGGTGAGCCGTCTCAAGAGCCTCACGCTGGACGACAACAGCGCCCCACGCCTCACCGTCACGCGGCAGCCTCGCGGGCCCGACAGCACCAAGGTGAGGGAGGAGGGCCCCCCAGGTGTTTGAATAATAACAACAACAACAACAATAATAATAGGAATAGGTTTTACCCTTTTAACTGGCACAAAAACTGACACCTTTATTCAAGGCATCATGTTTGCAATGACCACAACACAAGCAGTCAAAATGCAAACAACTCTGATGATAATAATAATAATATGCACTGTCCTTGAATTTGATTGGTCCACACCCGAGACAGCTTTTCTTAGAGCCTAGAGCTGTCTCGGGTGTGGACCAATCAAATTCAAGGACAGTGCATATTATTATCAGAGTTGTCTTTTTTGTTTGCATTTTGACTGCTTGTGTTGTGGTTATTGCAAACATGATGCCTTGAATAAAGGCGTCAGTTTTTGTGCCAGTTAAAAGGGTAAAACCTCTTCCTATATCTTGTTTCTGGCAAAGGAGGTCTCATAATGTTAACAATAATAATACTAAATTCTTGGTTCTTTCGGTAAAGTCACGTAGAAGGGAAACGATAAAATAATAAAAATATAAAACAATACACTTCTCGCGACGTCACGACTGCAACACAAGCAATCATCATCAGGTGTGAAAACCACAGCAAGAAAATTTGAAAAAAGTGGTTTGCTTGATGATTGCTTGTGTTGCAGTCGAAACGTCGTGCGAATGTTATTGTTTTATATATATATTTTCATTATTTTATTGTTTCCCTTCTACGTGAATTTACCGAAAGAACCAAGAATATGAATCCCTGCAGTCATTAAAGCTTTAAATCGAAATAATAATAGTTAGAAATAAAATAAAACAAATCGCGACGTTTCGACCGCGATTTTTTTTATTTTATGATCAACAACAATAATAATAACGACGACGATGATCACGACAATAATGTAAGATTGTTACACGCCACCACCGTACAGTATACGCGGTGACCCGGCGTTAATTCTTACCCCCCCCCCCCCACCCCTGACCTGCCCTCCAAGTTCTGCGGTCCTCGATATACGAAGATGTTATCGGCCACTTAATGAGCGTTGTAAACGAGAGAGGAAAACCGGAGCGTGCGAGGGTGCAACGCTCTATCCCAAGCAGATGTAACAGATGGTGATTAGTCCGCTTGTGTTTTTTTTTTTCCTTCTTTTCCCAACCTGCCTTTTAATTCTTGAACTCGGTATTGACAATTGCGTCACGCGCCTGCCGGTCGCCATCGCAAGTTGGCGCGCGATGCCAGCGGCGACCGTCGTTCCGTTCAGTTTCCTCACGGCTACCGCTCGCGCTCCTGGCCTCCCGATTGCGTCCGCGGGGCCTCGCGTGACGGCCACCCGTGACCTCTCCCCCGCGTGTGTGCGCGTGTGTGTGTGTGTGTGCGCGTGTGTGTGCGCGTGTGTGCGTGTGCGCAGGGCTTCACCGTGGAGCGAGTGCTGCGTCAGGTCGGGGTGGCCGAGTAAAGCGGCGCCGAGCGAGGAGCGGCGGCGGCGGCGTAGACCCGCGACGCCGTGGGGGGGGGGGGGGGGGTGGCCGCGTGTCTGACCCCCGCCGCCGTCGGCGCCGCGTGCCGCCGCTACCGCTCAACCGCACGCTCGGGCCGCGGCTTTGCCAGGCCCCTGCCCGCCCCCGCCCCCGTGTTTATAACGCAGCCGGCCCCACGCGCCACGTGCTCATAAACTCTCTCTCTCTCTCGTTGCCCCGTCTGCTGCAATAGGCCCTTCGGGCCGCATCGCACCACCACCATCCCCCTCGCCCCCCTGCCCTCCGGCATTGTAACCCTGCCCAGTTCACCCCTACAACTCCCAGCTCCATCCGTCCCACCTTGGCCTTGCCTGACCCCCCTCCCGCATGTCCCTGGGCCCTCAGTGGTATGTCTGTCTCTCTGCGTGTGCGTGCGAGGATGTGTGCGTGTGTGTGTGTAGGCCTGAGTGTCTTTGCCTTCATGCGTCCGTGCGCGTGCGTGTCCATGTTTCTCTGTGTGGCTATCGACGTAGGTGCTATCTGTTTTTGTGTGCCGTTTGTGTGCGCGTGTGTCCCGTGTGGTTTCGGGTGTTGTGTGACCGTGCGTGTCCACTTGTGTGTCTGGGCGCGTGTGTGTGTGTGTGTGTGCGCGCATCTGCCTTTTTGTGTCGGGAGGTGTTCGCTCGCGTGTGTGTGTGTGTCAGTGGTTAGCAGCAGTGCAGCGGCTCACGCTACGCTGCGCTACGAACCCGGCGACCCAACAAATTCCCGCTCTCACGGCCACCAACGCCGGTGACGATTATCTGAACCGGTCCTGGTCCTCCCCTTGGTCGACTGGAACCTCAAATGAGTACCTGGGTGCGGCGCGTAGTAAACATCGCCACTGGGGAGACGACGTGCGGCCTGAACATCGTACTGGCCACCCTGGGGGGGGACCCCCCTCCTGTGCCGTGCCGGCCTTCATAGGTGCTGCTGCTACTCCGCTAACAGCGCCCTGCCCTGCAAAGTCTGTGGGTGGTGGCGGGGAGGATCTGCGTGGTGTGTGTGTGTGTGTGCCTGCCTGTGTGTGTATCTGTCTGTGTGTGTGTGTGGTATCCGGGTGCACACGTGTGTTGCCATCATCACCCAGAGAAGAGGAGGAGGGAGGGGGTTGGTGCGAGCGCGTACTCGCACGCAAACGCCGCCGCCTTCCAAGCCGATCTCGCGAAGCTCGGAGAAGATTTGCCGCTGCTTTGGTTTTTTTTTGGTTTGCCGCCGAACGGCACCGGAGGTGGGGAGGGGTGCCGGGGGGTGGGGAGGGGTTGCGAGTTCACCGACGTCAACTTTGGGGTTTGGTTTTTTTTTTTCTCCAATTGTTCAAAAAATCTGCGTCAGTCGTTTTATTTAAAGATTGCACACCTCCTTACCCCCCCCCCGCCGCCCTCCCTACCACCCCTCCCTCCCCACCTTTTTCATTTTCCATTCCTTTCGGTCGCCTTCCCCCCCTCCCCCCCCTAAACTGATCATCAGCCTTTGAGATGTTGCTTGTAATCACGCGCCTCATCCACTTTGTTTGTGTGTTCAGGCGGTTAAACCTTGAAGCGATAATTTTACCAAAAAAAATCAATAACTGACGATATTGGCCGGGGAGAAACGCGTCGCCCGCCCGCCCGCCCGCCATCTATTTTGTATTTCATTTTTCTCCCGAAATTTTTTGTTTGGTGTTCAAGCGCGGCACCGTATATACAAGCCCCCGGGAATCGACGGGGAGTTTCCCCGGGGCGGGAAAGAAATCCATCCGAGACCGTTGGGGATTCCCCGCGCCGGGAAAGAAGTTCCGGGATCTTTGGGGATTTCCCCGGCGGGGAATGAAGTCCTGGGATCGCTTGGATTCTGGAGAGAGAAAACGAGTCTGGAATCGTTGGGCATTCCAGAGAGGAAACAAGTCCAGAATCGTTGTGGATTCCCCTGGGCGGAAAGAGGTTCCGGGGATCGTTTGGATTCTGGCGCGGGAAGGGGAGGGGGGGGGGGTTGTCCGGGGATCGCTTTGATTCCGGAGTTGATGACAAGTCGGGGATCGTTGGGATTCCCGGCCGGGGAAGAGGGGTCCGGAGATTGGTTGGGATTCCGGGGCGGGGAAGAGATCCGGGGGGGGGGGGGGGTGGGGGGACGGGGTGGCGGGGGGGAGATCCGTTGGGATTCCGGGGTGAGGAGTCTGGCCAGAGTGGTGTGAGAGCGTACGTGTGCCTAGATGCTTGAGCATTTCACCGTGAAATCATTGGCGAGTCGCAAGCGCCGCGCTCCGTCCGCGCCCCTCTCTGCCTCTCCCTCCGGCCGCGTAGCGACGCGAGCGCCCGGAGTGTTCCTCCCGATTCTGTGCCGTGCTTCGGGCGGAGTTAGGAGCGCGGGAAGAGGACGAGGAGGGAGACGCGCGGAGTTACGAAATAATAATAATAAAAAAATTGCCTGATTAACGAATAAAATGAAAAGTACAAAAAAAAGATATATAACAACATCGACGAAAAATAACACGGAAACAGACTCGCCGAGGACCTTTTTTTTTTGTTTGAAAAGCTGTTCAAAGTTTGTAAAGCAGTACAACCGAAGCAGTTAAAATAAAATGCAAAAATAAAGTAATACCTAATAAAGTGTGCAACGTCTAATTCCCGCCGCGTCGTCGTCGGTTCCACGTCCACGGAGGAGCGAGAGTCTGTGCGTCGGTGCGTCGGTGAGTCTGTGCGTCTGTGCGTCATTGAGTCGGTGAGTCTGCGAGTCTGAGTCTGCGCGTCTGCGAGTCGGTAAGTCTGCGAGTCGGTGCGTCTGTGAGTCGTCGGTGAGTCGGTGAGTCTGTGCGGCTGTGCGTCGGTGAGTCGGTGAGTCTGTGAGTCGGTGCGTCTGTGCGTCGGTGAGTCTGCGAGTCGGTGAGTCGGTGAGTCGGTGAGTCTGCGAGTCTGCGAGTCGGTGAGTCTGCGAGTCGGTGAGTCGGTGAGTGTGAGTCGTCGGTGAGTCTGTGAGTCTGTGAGTCCATTCGTCTGGGGCAGGAAGCCGCTCCAGCCGCGCCGTTCCCACTGAGCGGCGGCCTCGCCAGCAGCTACAGAGGCGCCGTCGGTCGATGGCTGCTGGCGTGTTGGGGGTGGCCCGGTCGAAGGACTCCGCGATCGGGAACGCAGCGCACGCTCGTTGGCCGAGCCAGGCGCGTCGTCACGTCACAACGCACCTCCGATTCGCCGTGGTTGTGTTACGTACGGTGCGAAAGAAGTCCAACGTACATCGACTCGCACAGTGACCCGTAGACTCTTATAGACCCCCATAGACTCCCACAGACACCCATAGACTCCCACAGACACCCATAGACTCCCATAGACACCCATAGACTCCCACAGACACCCATAGACTCCCACAGACACCCATAGACTCGTACAGACTCGCACATACACCCATAGACTCCCACAGACACCCATGGACTCCCATAAACTCTCACAGACACCCATAGACTCCTACAGACACCCATGGACTCCCATAGACTCCCACAGACACCCATAGACTCCCACAGACACCCATAGACTCCCATAGACTCCCACAGACACCCATAGACTCCCACAGACACCCATAGACTCGTACAGACTCGCACATACACCCATAGACTCGTAAAGACGCGCACAGACACCCATAGACTCCCACAGACACCCACAGACTCGCACAGGCACCCACAGACACCCATATACTCGTACAGACTCGCACAGACACCCATAGACTCCCACAGACACCCATAGAAACCCTCAGACTCGCACAGACACCCATATACTCGTACAGACTCGCACAGACACCCATAGAAACCCTCGTATCACACAGAGACCCATAGACTCCCACAGACACCCATAGACGCGCACAGAGCCCCATAGACTCCCACAGACACCCATAGACTCCCACAGACACCCATATACTCGTACAGACTCGCACAGACACCCATAGACTCCCACAGACACCCATAGACTCCCACAGACACTCATAGACGTGCACAGAGCCCCATAGACTCCCACAGACACCCATAGACTCCCACAGACACCCATATACTCGTACAGACTCGCACAGACACCATAGGCTCCCATAGACTCCCACAGACACCCACATACACCCACATCCACCCATAGACTCCCACAGACACCCATCAACTCCGACAGAAACCCATAAACTCCCACAGACTCCCATAAACTCCCACAGACTCGCACGGAGTCACCCGTAGTTTGTTGACCTTGCCCCGCACCTCCGATTCGCCCCGCTCGGGCTCCCTGCTGTGGTGCGAGAGAAGTTGAACGCGCGCCTTCGCGAGGCGCTGCGCGTCTCCCCCCCCCCCCCCCCCCCCCCCCCCCCCCAGCTGAGGGCACCGGCCACCGGACGGCTCACGGCATCCCCGTGGCAGAGCGCCACGTCAGAGGGCTCTGCACAATTTCACGAGACCCCCCCCCCCCCCCCCACAGCTGCCCCCGTTGTATCTTCGTGTGTGTCGAGATTGTGGTGGTCACTGCCGATCTTTGTGGAGACATTATCTGGTGGTGGCGGTGGCGCGCGCGTGCGCGCGCGCAATTAAATCGTCTCGGAACACGTTAGTCGGTAAACATTGGTGGCCTTAGACGGGCATAAACGTGCGCGCTTTCGAGCAGCCAAATATTCTTTATAAACGCGTGCCGAGCACGGGCGGTGGTGGCGGCGGCTCTGCGCGTGCGTGGCCTGCAATCCAGCGCGCTGTGGCGACGGGAGAGGGTTGGTGGATCACGCAGATGTTTTGCGAAAGTCCCGTTCCGTGGGGCGTCGAGGAGGAACGCATCCCGCGATGTAGCACCCAAACGAGAACTAATCTCCCTCCATGCGTCCCCATCTGTAAGGGACAGTGCTGCCCCCCCGCTCTTGGGTGGGTTTTCTCCAGCTGCGCGCTGGTTTCACCCCCACGTGTTAACACTCCGTAGAGTCATTGTCTGAGCATGAATATATAGGGGGCCGCAGCGCTTGGGAAATTGTTAGCTGCGCTCTCTCCAACCACTGATAAGAGACCTGTTAAAGTGAGCTCCATTTGACTATCTCCTCCACCACTGGTAAGAGATCTGTTAAAGTGAACTCCATTTGACTATCTCCTTCACCACTGGTAGTAGATCTGTTAAAGTGAACTCCATTTGAATATCTCCACCACCACTGGTAAGAGATCTGTTAAAGTGAACTCCATTTGACTATCTCCACCACCACTGGTAAGATATCTGTTAAAGTGAGCTCCATTTGACTATCTCCACCACTAGTAAGAGATCTGTTAAAGTGAACTCCATTTGACTATCTCCACCACCACTGGTAAGAGATCTGTTAAAGTGAACTCCATTTGACTATCTCCACCACCACTGATAAGAGATCTGTTAAAGTGAACTCCATTTGAATATCTCCACCACTAGTAAGATGTCTGTTAAAGTGAGCTCCATTTGACTATCTCCACCACTAGTAAGAGATCTGTTAAAGTGAACTCCATTTGACTATCTCCACCACCACTGGTAAGAGATCTATTAAAGTGAACTCCATTTGACTATCTCCACCACTGGTAGTAGATCTGTTAAAGTGAACGCCATTTGAATATCTCCACCACCACTGGTAAGAGATCTGTTAAAGTGAACTCCATTTGACTATCTCCTCCACCACTGGTAGTAGATCTGTTAAAGTGAACTCCATTTGAATATCTCCACCACCACTGGTAAGAGATCTGTTAAAATGAACTCCATCTGACCATCACCACCACTGGTAAGAGATCTGTTAAAGTGAACTCCATTTGACTATCTCCACCACCACTGGTAAGAGATCTGTTAAAGTGAACTCCATTTGACTATCTCCACCATCAATGATAAGAGATATGTTCACGTGAGCTCCATTTGACTATCTCCACCACTGGTAAGAGATCTGTTAAAGTGAACTCCATTTGACTATCTCCTCCACCACTGGTAAGAGATCTGTTAAAGTGAACTCCATTTGACTATCTCCACCACCACTGATAAGAGATCTGTTAAAGTGAACTCCATTTGAATATCTCCACCACTAGTAAGATGTCTGTTAAAGTGAGCTCCATTTGACTATCTCCACCACTAGTAAGAGATCTGTTAAAGTGAACTCCATTTGACTATCTCCACCACCACTGGTAAGAGATCTATTAAAGTGAACTCCATTTGACTATCTCCACCACTGGTAGTAGATCTGTTAAAGTGAACGCCATTTGAATATCTCCACCACCACTGGTAAGAGATCTGTTAAAGTGAACTCCATTTGACTATCTCCTCCACCACTGGTAGTAGATCTGTTAAAGTGAACTCCATTTGAATATCTCCACCACCACTGGTAAGAGATCTGTTAAAATGAACTCCATCTGACCATCACCACCACTGGTAAGAGATCTGTTAAAGTGAACTCCATTTGACTATCTCCACCACCACTGGTAAGAGATATGTTAAAGTGAGCTCCATTTGACTATCTCCACCACTGGTAGTAGATCTGTTAAAGTGAACGCCATTTGAATATCTCCACCACCACTGGTAAGAGATCTGTTAAAGTGAACTCCATTTGACTATCTCCTCCACCACTGGTAGTAGATCTGTTAAAGTGAACTCCATTTGAATATCTCCACCACCACTGGTAAGAGATCTGTTAAAGTGAACTCCATCTGACCATCACCACCACTGGTAAGAGATCTGTTAAAGTGAACTCCATTTGACTATCTCCACCACCACTGGTAAGAGATATGTTAAAGTGAGCTCCATTTGACTATCTCCACCACCACTGGTAAGAGATCTGTTAAAGTGAACTCCATTTGACTATCTCCACCATCAATGATAAGAGATATGTTCACGTGAGCTCCATTTGACTATCTCCACCACTGGTAAGAGATCTGTTAAAGTGAACTCCATTTGACTATCTCCTCCACCATTGGTAAGAGATCTGTTAAAGTGAACTCCATTTGACTATCTCCACCATCAATGATAAGAGATCTGTTCAAGTGAGCTCCATTTGACTATCTCCTCCACCACTGGTAAGAGATCTGTTAAAGTGAACTCCATTTGACTATCTCCTCTACCATTGGTAAGAGATCTGTTAAAGTGAACTCTATTGGTATATCTCCACCACCACTGTGATAAGATATCTGTTTAAGTGAACTCCATTGGACTATCTCCACCTTGAATGTTAAGAGATCTATTAAAGTGAGCAATGTTGGACTATCTCCACCACCACTGTGATAAGAGATCTGTTAAAGTCCACTCCATTGGACTCTCCACCACTACCACCACCGCTGTCATACGATATCTATTAAAGTGAGTATCAATGGATTCTCTCCACCATCAAATCCGCTATCAAATTCAATCGCAATTTCCTTTTGTATCGTAAACGACCTTAACCCCTTAGGCCGACTCAAGACGAGGGATATTGCCGTAGAATTCGTACAATGGGCTGGGGGTCTTGGGAGGGCACTTTAATGGACTTCTATGAGAGTAAATGACCGTTGGTTGAATAAATGGGCCCTTTCAATAGCCATCGGGAAACGTTTGGCTGATTCTGCCTCCTTAGCGTTGGACGGAGATTACCGTGGGGTGTGTGATTGGGTGTGTGTGTGAGTGGGGGTGAGAGTGGGTTTTAGAGTGGTTGT